TTAATATATAATATACATAATATCATTTAATATATAATATTTATTAAATATAAAATATGTTAATATAACATATTAACATATTTTATTTTATATTTATTTTAAACATATTTTAATAGGTTTAAAATATGTTTAAATATTTTTTGGGTTTATCGTCCCCCTTGGGTTCATCGTCCACCCAGACGCCCCCTGGTTTGGGTCATCTTTCGTAGGGCTGAATCTGTCCCTATGGATCTTGATTAGCTACTGAGCCCGTACCGCAGTATTTACGGGAAACGAGTGAAATCTATCTATCATCTGTCTGTCTATAACTGTCTGTTCTGTGAGAAATATCCTAATTTTTCTGAATTAATTAATAATATTTCTTTGGAATTGTACTCAAAACTCATACTCATACTTATATTATGCCATTAATGACATATTACAGCAGCTGTAATTTTTATACAAAAACATACTGTATTATTTAAATTATTTGTCTTATATATTACATACAAATGAATGTGAAATTACAAAACTAATGGTGATAATAATTCTCCAAAATCACCACCAGATGGTGTAAAGGGACAGTTAAAAAAAAAAAACATGAAAAAACATTTAAGTAAAATGTCCTAATTTAAATAAAGTGCATAACATTGAACAGAAAGTTTTATTAAATGTTTTACTAAAACTTATTTTAAAGCTGTTTCCTGAATTATTAAGATCAAACTCCTTAACTGTAAAAAATGAATAAATAACATGGATAAAAAATAATAATAATAAAAAAAAAACAGTTACTTGACTGGCAGTAACAACATTAAACACTTACAGATCACTCAAGTTCTCAGCATCTTTACCTAGATGTTTTGTTAAACATTATAACGACCGATATGTTGATCAGTGTTTGATTTCTATGGGATTAAACCCTTGACTTTTTAACATTAGTTTATGTAACCACCTTGCTTACAAAACCTGTAGATGAGTTTTTGTCAAACAATCATCAAAGTTGTACTTTGAACGTCAACAAAAATCCATTTACTGTTTTATTTTGATAGTTACTGTATATACACACGCCAGTGGTGGAATGTAACGAAGTACAAATACTTTGTTACTTTACTCACGTACATTTTTCACGTATCTTTACTTTACTTAAGTGGAACAAATAGTGCATACTTTTTACTTTTACTTCGTTACATTTTGCAGCAATCATTATACTTTCTACTCCACTACATTTCTACAACTTCTGTTACATTTTCATTACATTTTCTGATCAGTTTTTTCCCCTGCCAAAACGTAATCTGACCGTCCGTTCGTTGCGCGTTTGTCTCACCAGTGACGTTTGGTTGCCATAGATACAGCAACTAATATGGAATTAATTTTGAGCCAATAAAAATGAACGTAACTTTTCAAGAAACTAATGAAAATATAAATTGAAACTGAATAAAATATCTTTGAAACTGAAAAAGAATGAACCGCACACAATTTTTTTTAACTTTGTTTTTAATACACTACATGTTTTGCTAACTATTCCTCATATTTCGTTTACTGATCTACACTTACAAACGCGCTTCCAGAGTTTTCATTTACGCTTCTGAAGTTTTCGTTTACGCTTCTGATGTTTTCGTTTACACTCCCTGAGTTTGCGTTCGCTGTTCTGACACAAATCTCTCGTGGGGGCGGGGCTAGTAGTAGTGTATTCTCATTGGCTACTGAGTTTTTGATTGACAGCTTCTTGACCTGGATGTGAAGACGCAACACGTGTGGATGTGAGCGTCTGTAAGCGCAGCTTTCTATTTCATTTAGGTGATATTAAGTTTATATCTATATTTAGGGCTGCAGATCGAAGACGTGGTTTTTGGTGATGCTGGCACTACACTCCTGTGTGACATCTCTTCAGGTAGTCCTCGGCCGGTCGTTCCCTCAGGATGGAGACGACAAGTTTTTGAAATAAGAAAAAATAAGATCTGTGTTTAACAAAGGGTTGTGACCCTTACACGTTTTGTCTAGCAAGATAATCTTTACAAGTTAATCCAAAATTTATATATTTTGAAGCCTATATAAAGATTTTAAAAAACACAATCAGACACAATAAAGTTTAAAAAAAACACAAGCAGGTTATAACTGTGTGTTCTATGTCATAGATCAAAACGTGAAAATATTTAGAGGCTTTGTTCACCACAGACCTTATTTCAGGCAAATTAGCAAAAACCCATTCAAAAATCCCATAGGCTTTAGAGCGAGGGAACCGTAATGCTAAAATGCTAACTCACTCCCGCGTTTTGGCCTGCAGAGTGACGTCGCAACTTCGGCACTCTATTAGAATAGTTCAGACTTTTTACAAAAATATTAACAGCAATGTGTCTTTGGTAAATGGTGTTTCTCCCCGGTTTACGATTAGTAGGGGCATCAGACAAGGGCGTCCTTTTTCACCATTTTTGTTTTTATTAGTCACAGAGTTTCTTAATATTTTTATTACTCGCTGTGTAGATGTTCAGGGTATTGTTGTAGCTGAACATAGGCTACTTTTCTAATTAGTCAACTGGCGGATGACACCTGTCTGTTTTTAAAAGATGAGAAACAGGTTCATGTTATTTGGGAAGCTTTAAAAACATTTTCTAATGCTTCTGGTCTCACTGTTAATGCCTATTCACAGTATTGAAAAAGGGCATATAGAATATTGAGGTTAAATGTTCTGTTAGATATTTAGGCATTTTAATAAGTAAATCTCCCAAAGATAGAATTTTAGATAACTTTTCACAACGGACAAAAAAACTAAAGAATGTCTTCAATTGCTGGCTTCAAAGAAACTTAACTATTTATGGCCGTGTCTTGATATCTAAAGCTGCAGGCATTTCTAGGATTGTTTACCCAGCTTTGTCCCTATATGTCAATCCGAAAACTTGCTCATCTATCGACTCTATACTTTTTAAATTCTTGTGGAAAAATAAAAACGAATATGTTAAAAGGAAGACTCTTATAAGAAATACTTTGGAGGGAGGTGTGAATGCTTTGGACTTCAGTACTCTCAATCAGGTTTTCAAGATCGACTGGATTAAACGTTGCTTGAATGCTGATTCTAGTTTGTTATGGTTTCACATACCTAAATTTATCTTTGAAAAATGTGGGGGGTTACATTTTTTATTGTCTTACGATTTTAAATGTAACAAACTTCCGTTCAAGCTAGCTAATTTTCATAAGTAAGCCTTAGAGGCCTGTAAGCTTGCCTTTTGCCACAGTTAATTCCCCCTCATAGGAGTATTCGGAATAATGTGCTGCGTGGAAAAAAATCTATCTTTATTAAGGATTGGGTTGACAAAGGTGTTATTTTTGTTTTGGATTTGTTTAAGAAGGATGGCAGCATTTATTCCTACAATGAATTTATCAATCTTTTTGGAGTGAATTCCTCACCTGCAGTTTATAACGGGGTTATTAATTCTATTTCTCCTAAACTTTAGCATATGGTTAGGTCATACTGTAGCTACAGAGCATCCGTTTGTGAAATGCCCCAGTTATCTATTGGGGGTTTGGAGATTTCCAATGGCAAATGTAACAATTTTTGGATTAGAAGATTTCTTATTAGATCAGCTGTCATCCCAAAGCCTTTTTCAAGTGGAAATTATCCTTCTCTTTCTACCATTAATACATGGACTGGCATTAATCGGTTTCTGTTACCAAACAAGTGGAAAGAGCTTCAATTTAAAATTCTACAAAATTACTATCCCTGTAACTCTCTTCTTTCTAAATTTAAGTTGGACGTCTCTTCACACTGCACTTTCTGTAATTCTAACCTTGAAACAATACCACATTTGTTTTTTGAATGCGATTATGTAAAGGAGTTTTGGAAAAGAGTAGCCTGGCTTATTTTTTCTGCTTATTACAAACTCATACTTTTGAGGCTGTTAATGTGTTGTTTTTGATTTGGGACTCGGGGTCAAAGGAGATGGATGACAGATTAAAACTGCTTAGCCTACTTTTTGCAGTGAATTTAATCTTCATACATGTAAACTAACTGAATCTAAACCCAACTTTAAACTTTTTTGTGTTGATTTAATATTATTTTATGACTCTCTTTGTTTATCAGCTAATAAGAAAGCTGCTAAAACTACTTTGTTGCTCAAAGAAATTATGGTTTCTTTGTAAATCACCTCCTGAATTTATGTGCTTGTTTCGTGATTTGCTATTTGTTGTTTATTGGACTGTCCCTTATGTACTGCCTTGCTTACGTTGTCTTTGAGTAGCCTACTGTTTTTTTTTTTTTAATGCAATTTCATTTTATTTATTTTTGTGCTTGATGTATCCCCTGTGCTTCTCTGTTCAATAATAAAAATAAAAAATAAAAAAAACGTGTCGTGTGTATGAAGCATAGACTGTAAAAATGGTCTGAACAAGTGGCCTTGGCTCTGGCCTGAACAGAATTGGCACTGGCCGCACTGGCTGGTTACTTCCGGGTTCTGGACTGGCTGCAGTAACGCATCTCTGTCCATGCGGGGGCGCTCGCGGTCGACTGCAGAATGAATGGGAGTCAATGGGGTTTTACCCCCAGAAATCCACTTTTCTCAGGATGTAATTTTTTGTCAAGTAATTTGAAAGTTGCATTCAAAAGGGAGGGCTAAGAAAATACACTCAAGTGAAAATTGCATTTTTAAGTTCACTTCTCTGTTCTAAAAATCCATTCATAAATGTGATGACGTCACACAATAGCAGAATGCTAGCGTGTTCCGGCCAACAACAGCCTAACCTGTAAGAAATCAAAAGGACATAATTACTCTTTCATTCGACTTTTGGCCTATAATCTATACTGAATTTGCGGAATCAACAATAAAATCTATTTTGATTTAATGACAAGCAGGTGAAAGAGACACATTTAGCCGTTTAGCCCCATAGACTCCCATTCATTCTGCACTCGCCCGCGATCACCTCCAGTGGAATTCTAATGGAACTGCAACCAAGGCTCTGCCTGAACTAGAGTTTTGAGGCGGAGTTTGTGTGAGTGACGTGAGTTACGCAACCTCTCATCTGACACAGTTGCAGCTTTCACTTCCGCAATCCGCAGGAGAAATGGAGCAGGACAGCTAAAGAAACCCAGACTGGAATCTTACTCTTTTACATCGGGTTTTATCAAGATTTCTTTTCCACTGGATTCTCTGCCCCTTTGACTTCCGAGGTAAAGTGTAAGAGTTTAATTTCACAGCTGTCCTGAACGTTTTACCGTATCGCATTCGAGCGCGGTCTCTGTTTACATGTTAGTGTTGTGTTGTGTTGTTTTTCGCTAAAACGGCCCGTGCTAAAGAGAAAATAATAATGAATATGAACTATGAATTATGACAGTGTCCACATGCCTATTTTGGGTCACGGGTTGTACCCAAAAAAAAGCCATGTATTTGAGAAGTTTACTACATTAAAAAGATGTTTTGCTGTACAAACACTAAACAATTTAATACCAAACATGGTGAAAGTCTAAAAATATTCAGTGTGCTTTATGTTTCTGATCATAATGCTGTTCATCATTTTGGTTTAAACCATTGGGTTTATAATAATAATAATAATAATTTATTTTTCTCCATAGGAAGGGCTTTCCATTAGAAGTACAGCGATGGTGCAGAAATATCAGTCCCCTGTGAGGGTTTACAAGTTCCCTTTTGAGCTCGTAATGGCGGTGAGTTTTTAAGAAATGGCATGCGCATGAGAGAGCATATCTATTCATATTGTTTAAAAGTCTATCTATATTAGGCTAAATCCTTTTCGTTTTCTCTACTAGTTTGTGCATGTGTGTGTGTTTCCAGCTTTTTTTGTTAATTGTTGTGTTCATTTTATTGAGTAATGTTTGCAAAGTTTGTCTAGTCAGCTGTACTCTGTCTCAAAGCTTCATTGCTCTAGAGTTCACCAGACTGTTGGATCACTCGTCAGCTCAAATAATGGCAAATCCTTATCTCACAGAGCACAGCTTTCTATTGTTTTATTGCTTTAATAGCATTTATGGTTTAAATTGAACCAGAGTTTCAAACGTTCCTGGTTAACTGCTCAATAGTCCAGACATTATGAAATATACAGTAATACTATTGCCTGCAGAGAGCATGAAACTATCAAGACTATAACTCATACTTCTACTATTATATATATATGAAGAGTTCAGATGCAAAAGCCTCTAAGTGCCATTTGAAATTTTCTTCTAGAATGATCATTTTTATCAAGCTTGTATATTTAAGTTCAGTAATTTCAGTTAAATGGCAATGATAATTACCTATTAATTGTTATTTAAGTGAAATTACTGAACTTAAATATACAAGTTTGATAAAAATCATCATTAATGAAGAAAATTTCAAATGGCATTTAGAGGCTTTTGCATCTGAACTCTTCATATATACACACACACACCTCTGTTATACCTTTTATATTTTCATAAGTTTGTATATCGTTGGTAATGTTCATTTGAAAATTATAATACATTTCAATATTAACATTTGTTACATTATTACAATAAACAATGTTTTATGGGATTACGACTAGGTGTCCGATGATAGTAGTATATCATTTTTTCATTCAGGGGAAAATATGCATCCTGGAAACCAGTGGAAATCCATTCACTGGTATATTATATTAACGTTTTTTTGTTGTTGTTATTTTCTGTTAATTGATTAGATTTAGATGATTCTAAATTCTGTTTTGACGTGCAACATTTGAAGCTGTTGTTAAATGCAGATAAGCACACACCAATAGCTGATAAACTTCATCGTTAAGATAATGAACTTGGGAGGATAATTACTTTTCAAATTCTATTATCAATATTTACCAATGTCAATGGTCAAAATTACTTTGACGTACGGTTCCGTGTGTATTCTTGCTTTAATATCCTCTGGCTAGTCAATGCATATATACTAATGTTTGGTGTTCTATGAGCACGATTCCAGTTCATCTCTTCATGCTATGAATGCCCAATGAAAATGTCAGTTTAACTTCATAGATGAGGTTTAATATTTGACTGGCTGTTTTAATAATAATTTAGATTTAGTCTACTTTCGTTGTGCCTCATATGCAAAAAAACCCCGCTGGATTTTTGAAGTAGGCCGATCTCAAACCCTGTTTACATCTAGTATTAAGATGCGTTTTGGTTGATCGGATCACAAGTGTTGTAGTCGAGACCACCTCACCCGAGTCCGAGTCGACACCGAGACCAGAGAGAGTCGAGTCCGAGTCGAGTCCGAGACCAGAGACGGTCGAGATCAGTGAGGGTTGATTACCTATTTACTTTTATTTACTTAGAGAAATCCTTTTTTTTTTTTTTTTTACTGAATTTACTTAGAGTTTAAAAATATGATCAGTTTAGGGTAAAAAGGCCACATAGTAGGTGGTGTTAAAAGTAATTTTATTACAATTGGTCATGCGCAGTTGCGCACTAGAAAATCACCAATCACTGGGCGTGTCAATCAATTTAAAGAAATACTTTATTAACATACATTAATAATCATGATAAATATTTTTAATTGAACTCGAGTGGACTCGGGAATAATTCCGAGTCCTAAAAAAACAAATGTTCGAGTACGAGTCAATTCCGAGTCCAAATGTACACAAGACCAAGACCATTAAAATATGGTCTCAAGACCGAGTCCGAGACGAGTTCGAGTCTCGAGTACTACAACACTGGACGATACAGGTATAAACGGGGTCTAAAACATTTTGAGTTTGACCACTTACGGATGTAGTTGAAAACTCATTAGACTGGATTGCTTTTGTGGTGTCAATGCTCAATGCGTGAACATTATAGGAGGAAGAGCTCTAGACAGACGCTAGACGGGTTTAAACTTTGTTGGCTGGAGACCAAAGTTTGTTTTGAAGATGAAAAATATATCAAGCACTATGTTCTCTCACCATTCTTGATTTCGAACACGCTCTCGCTGCATTTGGCTGGTATTCGGCTGTCAAGAGCAGAAACTAAATCTGCTGCTCTACATGTGTTTTCCCTTCGTCTCCACGTGTGTTCATATGTAAATTTGTTATTTTGTCTATTAGATGGAAAGATCTGAAAAAGGCCTAACATTTACCCACCCATAGACCCTCCCCTTGAAGAAATCAGGTTGAAAGTGGACTAAAAAGACAGGTGTAAACAGGAATGCGTCTCCCTCGTCTACTTGTGATCCGATCCACCAAAACGCATAGTTGCCCCTGTCCACAACAGCAGCTGACAAGAGCAGATGACGCTAGCATTCCAACACTCACTTCAGTCCTTTTACGACGGTCTCGTGACCTTGTAATGGTATCTCACCCTTTACACAATCAAAAACTGATCTTTAACACTTACCATGAACTGAGAAAAACCTTCTGCACTTTAGCATCTTTATATTTGGCCTTGAAAATACGCTAATAAGTTACGGCTGAATGAACTGACAATCATTTCCGGTCAACTAAAATATACTTTAATGCCATTTCTATTGACGCGTGTCATGTATTTAAGTATATTTGATGCAATTTAGTACATTCCAAATATATTAACTTATCAAATACACTATTCTGACATGTATACACAATAGCATGACAAAATAGTATTAAAATGCACTGTAAATTAAGCGTTTAATTAGACATCAAAACAAAGTGTACTTTTTAAAAGTGGACTTAAGTTGGTGCTTATTTCATTCATATATTTTCTGCAAGCACGGTTTAAGTGCATCAAGTTCACATTAAACATAATTAAAGGGTTAGTTCACCCAAAAATGAAAATTCTGTCAGTATTTACTCACCCTCATGTTGTTCCAACCCCGTAAGACCTTCGGAACACAAATTAAGATATTTAAGATATTAAGATCGCTCCTGCATACAGTCCGTAGGCTTCTTGAGGGAATGACTCTTGCTGTCCTCAAAGTCATTAAAGACATCGTTAAAATAGTCCAAGTGACTACAGTGGCTCAATCTTAAGTTTATCAAACGACGAGAACACTTTTGTGCGCAATAAAACAACAAAAATAACGACTTTATTTCAACTATTCGTTTATTTCTCCCTCTGCGCGAGTCAGGTTACTAGTTTAATAGCGTAAGCTTCTGTTATTGTACGTCACACGCATCACACACATGACCAGTGTCGGCCAATAGTGAGCCTACGTGTGACGTAGCTCTACGCTATCACACTACGTTAACTGACTACAGGCTCATGGAGAAGGAAGTGATAGTTGAAATAAAGTCGTTATTTTTGTTGTTTTTTTGCGCACAAAAGTGTTCTCGTCGTTTGATAAACTTAAGATTGAGCCCCTGTAGTCACTTGGACTATTTTAACGATGTCTTTAATGACTTTTCGGGGACAGCAAGAGCCAGTCCCTCAAGAAGCCTATGGACTGTATGCAGGAGCGATCTTAACATCTTAAATATCTTAATTTGTGTTCCGAAGATGAACGAAGGTCTTACGGGGTTGAAACAACATGAGGGTGAGTAAATACTGACAGAATTTTCATTTTTGGGTGAACTAACCCTTTAAGCACACTTCTTTTTCTCAAGGGAAGGAGCCATAACTTTAGGAGAACATTTTTAAAAAAATGTATTACTGTTTGTCACTGTATTAGATACTAATATTAGCAAGTGTTAAAGATGAGGCAATAGGATTTTGCCGTTTTGTGCATGTGAAGTATTTCCATCATATAATTTATGAGAGGAGAGATTTATTTCACACAGGAACGCCATATAATACTGGTGTGAATGTGTGGCACAGCGTCAATAATCTCGCGGCGTGATTGATCAGCCGGTTAATTGGGTTACAGTTCACACTCATTGACATCATTTCCCCAGGCGAAAGTGCTAATCAATCGCTCTTATCAACATTATTCTTGCGAATTGTTTTTTGAGATTTGCTGAGTGCACAGTTTGACGTCATGCTTTAGTCACGGGTCGCTGGTCACACTTGACATGAATTGGTGTGCCTCTTCTGTGGCAGAAACCTCGGGGTTAATGTCACGAAGGCTTACAGTGGTGTCGTTTCTTACAATATAAGACCTATTTCAACATGTGATTGTGTTAGGATAGGAGAAACTATAGGGATTGTTCTAGATTTCCAAGACTGCACACATTTGAGGCAATTTGAACTGAACCGAGTGTGTTAGTGCCCATCCAATCTCGAAGTATCCCGAAGTATTTTTTCTTGTTGGTTTTAAAGCGTTATAAGCAATGAACCAAATCAACCTTCTGCATGGTAAATAATAACAATTGAAATATTGATTTGAGGCAAACAAGTATTTGAAAATGGGGAAAAGATATAGACCATTTCACAAGATGTAAACAACACTGGTCCAGAAGCACTTCCTGTTTCAGTTTTTTTAACACTACATAAAAGCTGGGATAAAATACAACCAACAGAACATATAAAACTGAATTAAAAAGTTAAACAGACAAGAAAACGGTTACAAACTGAAACAGGAAGTGCTTCTGGACCAGTGTTGTTTACATCTTGTGAAATGGTCTATAAAGAAAGACTTTGGTGAAGGGGTAAAACCTACTATCCCATAAACTGGATAATCGAATTAAAAATGATGGAGAAATGTAAAACTACTAATTTAAAATGTTGATTATATACAGTATATAAAGTCACATTTTAAGTTTATTGCAATATGTATACATATTTTGAGAGTATTTTATGTTCATCATCATGTGCATTGTAGTTTTAATGTAGATTGATGTAGTTCTGTTAAATGGCATTGTTTTAAAATTCAATATTTATTTAGTTCAACACCACAGATCTATGTATATTTTTCCCATAATTTAGACATTTCTTGTTGAAAGTAGTTTTTATTTTTATTTTAGTTCAGTAAATATAATGACATTTATTATATATATATGTGTGTGTATGTGTATGTGTGTAATATTGTATAATTAAAAACATAGTAGTTGTATGCATTTAATAAAAAAAAACTATTTTAATTATGCTTTATTAAATTCAAATTACCATCATAATTGTACAATTATACAGAATTGTAGTTCAATTTAAATTCAGGAATGAAATTTAAATTTTTGGTCTCCCAAACTAATATAGGACAGCTGTAGTGAGGCTTAATGTTCCTGAAAGTAGGAATTAATATACATACACAATGCTTAATCCCTTACATAAAAGCTGTTATTGTGTTCAGTCCAGAGAAAACATGTCATTGTTTGATCAATCGCTTTAATGGATGACGTCCATGGACATCATCACTTTATTGATTTGACACAAAGGTCAAGCATTTTAAAGAGGCTACCATACGTAGTGCATACTGTGCAGTTTGCGTAAGCTACTACAGTGACCAAAATGACAGCACCTTTCAGCCCAGCATGGCAATTTTATATGCAAAAATGGATTAAATCTAATCTAAAAAATTTAAACTAAGATTAGAACTGGATGCCAGATCTTGTGATGGTATTGAAGCATACTACTGTTGCATATATTCAGTATATATTCAGTATATTCAGAGGAAAAGAGCTTGCCTTTATTTGGTAGGTCTCACAGTAGACTCTATTTTACATTTTATGCATGGATACCTAATAGAATTGTTTGATTTTTAGTAGGATTGTGCGTGACTGAGTGGAATAGCAGAGTACACACTAAAACAAACACATACTAGAAAACACTCATCTACTGCTCAGCAGAAATATATCTGCTTAGATGGCTAATGCATTAACATGGATGCAATTTACAGCTGTAGAGTGTATAATATATGCACCATTAGAGACACAAAACTCAATAGAGCCCAACAGTAGCGTTCTGGAAGTAAGAATGCTGTTAAAATAAGGATTTTTAACAATAATATGCAATACTATTTGTATATGTCTGACTGTTACTTGCAGACAATATAATATTAATACAAAATAAAAAAAAGATTACATAAGTGTTCCCAAGTTCCAATTTGTTCAAAGTACAATTCAATTAATCATGTTTTAATAATCTTTTGTTGAGATTTAAAGAACTGCACTAACTTTGAGTTTTGATTTTTTGACAAACTTACAAAACACATGTAACCAAACACTTGATTATAATTTAAATAGGGCTGTGAAACGATTAATCGCGATTAATCACATCCAAAGTAAAAGTTTGTGTTTACGTAATAAATGTGTGTAGTGTGTATAATTTAGAGCCAGACCGATATATCGGCAGGCCGATATTAGGCATTTTCTAAAATATCGGTATCGGCAGTTATAATGGCCGATAAATGAATATTTCAAAAATAAAATAAAAATGGACGAATTATGCTTTTACCATGTCATGAGTGTTGGAGTTGTATAGTTTGTCCACCAGAGGGCACTCTACACCGCCCCCTGTTAGCAACACTCGCGTATAACACGCCACACATCCTGCAACCTGCTAATCCAGCCAGAGTCGGGCAGAGAGAACCAGTTATGCATTATCATATTATTTTAGTTACGTAACTCATAATTAACTACAAATAACTAATGTTAGGGAAATCTGTTAATATATTGTTGCGCGTTTCTGAAATAAAAAAATAATAATAATATCGGCCGACATATCGGAATATCGGATTTTAATGCCAACAAATATTTGTATCGGCATCGGCCTTCAAAATCCTTTATCGGTCGGGCTCTATTATTTTGTATATATAAATACACACATATGCATGTATATATTTAAGAAAAATGTGTTATTAATATATCAAATAAATTTCTATTTATGTATGATATAAATTTTGTATATATATATATATAAGTGTATATACATGCAAATATTTCTTAAATATACATGCACGTGTGTGTATTTATATATACAAAATAATTATACACACTATTTTGTAAACACAAACTTTTATTTTGGATGCGATTAATCGCGATTAATCGTTTCACAGCCCTAAATTTAAATGTAATGGTGAATAACACAATAAGCTTAAAGTTAATATGTTTTAAATGTAGTAAATTGTAACTACAAATAACAAAAAACATTCAAATAAACAGCATAAAACTTTCAATAGATGTTTTAGTCACCATAAATGCTTGTCGGCACATTCAGCACTAACTTTAACCATATTTAAAAAATTATATTTATTGAAATTATATAATGATGTACTTAAAACTGGGCCAGAAATTACATGTAAATATAAATTGCAATGTCTGTTAAAATAATTGCATTGAATATAAATATAAACTATAAAATACATTTACATATAATTGCAAGTAACATTTCCAAAAACATTTAATCCAGTTATCACTCATTTGTCACGGATATTCTTTTAAAGTATATTATTTCTGTAATAATCACTCTTTTAAAAGTATGTTAAAGTGTGCTTCTGTTTCACAAGGATTACTGTGTTCCTCCTGTGACTTCTTAAACCAAAGCGAGAGATTAGGGAGTAAATATTGACGGGCGTACCTGCAGTTTATCGGTATCGTTGACTTAAGACTTCATGTGACATGCAGTACTTGCTAACCTGGTCATATGAGCTACTAAGTCAACTGGACACATCACAAGACAAGTCTCACATTTTCAGGAACATATATAACCAAAATGGAAGAACCAAAAAAAAAAAAGAACCAAATTTTTATTAAAATTGCATTGTGTGCAAAACTGCCTGCAGCTGCTTCTCTCTTGTAATCATTTTTTCCCCTCCCACTCTTACATTGGTTTCACTTTCTCTCTCTCTCACAGGCCTATGACAAAAGATTCCCAAACTGTCCGCTGATACCCATGTTTGTGAACAGTGAAATCATCAGTGAGTGCCATAGTGAAGATGGGGCGACACAAGTGACTGAGCGCAGGTGTACCGTGGACGTCGAGGCTCCTCGGCTTCTAAAGAGGGTATTTCATGTTTTAGAAGTCCAAAACGTCATAAACTTTGACAAACTCTGACACTCATTTGACTAATATTTGAACATTAGAATAATACGAGAAGCTGTTCCCTGCAATTACTTTATTTAAAGTTTATTGGCACAGTTATTCGATGATCTGGAAAATGGTCATTCGATGAAATGAAAATTATTTTAAAAATGCTATTAAAAAAGAAAAATGAAACCACAACAACATATGAGATGTTGGTGTATGCACAAAAAAAATGCTTGCAGATTCTTCATAAATTCGTCATTTGGTGCATCACGTGTGAGAATAAATGAAATAAACAATATTTCACTTGTTTAGGTGAACTCCTTCTTCTTTTTTTAAATTCCTTTCAAATTCATAATAGCCGGTACCTTGATTATGATTATGACCCATGGCTGTGTGTGCAGATAGCAGGAGTGGACTACTTGTATTTCCTCCAGAAGAACTCTTTGGACCGAAGAGAGCGAACTCTGCACATAGAGGCGTATAACGAGTCCTTCTCCAGCAGAGTCAACGTCTACGAGCACTGCGTCTACACGGTCTGTGCTGCTACACTTCCTGCCCTTTCCCTCTTATTTATGGACACGTGTTTATCCTGATGTTTGAACGCTCCCTCCTCAGGTTCACCCTGAGAATGAAGACTGGACCTGTTTTGAGCAGTCCGCCAGCATGGACATCAAATCCTTCTTCGGCTTTGAGAGCACCGCAGAGAAGATCGCAATGAAGCAATACGCCGCCAGTATTAAAAAGGTGTGTGTGCAGTGATTGATTGATTGCTTGGTTGGATGGATGGATGGATGGATGGATCAGGACATGTGACTCAAACCTATATCTATACCTACATAAATGCATATCTCTGTTCACAAAGACTCTTATTTTGAAGTCCACACCTACAAACTTTCTCCTGGCCTGCCATGTTGCATTTTGTTTTTCCTACAGTATTTCTTTTGAGAGACTTTGTGTTCCCTAGAAAAAGCATTTGTAATATAGTTCTTCCTATCTCATAGTATTTCCATCACTGTAAAACGTTTGCGAGCAAATTCAAAAGTAATGAGAATTTCTTCCCCCCCTTTTAATCTCATTAAAGGGTAAGTTTAGTCATGTGACGCATATTGTACCAATAGATATTCATATTTATAATGGCATTGTGCCTGTAATGTGTCACTTTGACACTGTTGCTAAAATACGTTACTTTGCACACTCTTCTTATCACAGTCCTGCAAAGTTGTCAGAAAGATTAACTCTCATTTGCTCTCCTATGTAGGGCTGCAACAACTAATCGATAAAATCGATTATAATCGATTATGAAAATCGTTGTCAACGAATGTCATTATCGATTAGTTGGTCTGATTACGTCACGGGGATTGTTTACATGCTACATGCGCTTCTTACATGCGCTTCTTACATGCGCTTCATGAGGCACACACGCAGTCTCTCTCCCTCGCCGGTCTGTGCGCAACACGGACGGTTTGGAGCACATTATCTTCTGTCTCGCGCGCGCAACACGGACGGTTTGGAGCACATTATCTTCTGTCTCGCATGCGCACTTTTGATTCCGTCACGTGAGTTTGAACTAATTTGCGGGCATCAGGAAACCGCTATCAATATGCAGCATACACGAAAATCATTCACCTTTCGGCAAATTCGCCGTTTTGAAACCAAAATAGGTGACCTGCGTTAATCGTGTATACTTTATGAAGCCATACTGTAGTATAATGTGAGATAGAAATGTATATTTAAGTCATTAAATTCAAGTTAACGTAAGCTTTTCCCTCCACTGCGGCTGTAAGTCATTCTCTATTCGGTGTTCAAACAGCGCGTCGCGTTACAACAGACATGATGAAACTCTTTCCCAGATGATTCAATGTTATTATTATAATTGATTCGTAGATAAAGGTCTATGGTTTCGTAATATAATGACTATCTTGCTAGACTTTTATTGCTGTAACTTAATCACTTTCTACTGAGTGTCTGTTAGATCACAACACTAGAGTAGACTCGGCGCACTATAATTGTTCTTCACGTGCACAGTAGCCTATCTGAAATTTAAAACTGTTAAAAGAAAAGGCTTAATAAACTATTGCAAAGATACTGTAATACACAGTCAATATTGCTTCCTCACTAAACAGCTGTGCATCTGATTTTTACGATGTTTTTCATAAATGTATAACAACAATACAAAGAGCAATGTGTAACGTTTTACCAGAGATAGTGCTATACTTATTGTCTCTTATTTTTTCCCCACTAAGGAATGTTTTTTTCACTAAATGTTCAGATTTTATAAAATTATTGTGCACTTGTGATTTTTCTAGGCTAAGTTTTTCTGAGTTATCCACTAATCTAGTTTACAATAGCATTTTTGTCATAGGTTATGGTCATATATATATATTGTTTATTTGTTGTTTTTCTATATAATGAAGTTGTCTGTATTAAGAAGATTGTTTAACACACAAAAGAGTGTGGTTTTTAGGGTTTTATTTAGTTATAATAAACAAAAAAATGAAATACATTTTTTATCCGATTAATCGATTAATCGAAAAAATAATCGTCCGATTAATCGATTATCAAAATAATCGTTAGTTGCAGCCCTACTCCTATGGCAAACCTTGAGAGCATTCACGTTTTACACCAAACATATAATGGTGACTGAGTGTGTCCTGGATGCATCAGTGAGTGCTGAGATATTCTGCTAAATAAAATGATCCTTTCAGAAGAATTGAGATGGTCCTCACTGCAGAACACGAAATCCAGGGGGAGGAGTTTGAACCAGATCCAACTCCTCCCACCTTACATATACCTAAACCTACCAATCTCCGCCACCTGACCCCTAACCCCACCCCTAATCATACCCATCTCCACCCCCTGATCCCTTACCCCACCCCTAATCCTACCCATCTCCACCCCTTAGATCCAGATCCAACTCCTCCCACCTTACATATACCTAAACCCTCCATCTCTGCCCCCTGATCCCTAACCCCACCCCTAATCCTACCCATCTCCACCCCCTGATCCCTAACTCCACCCCTAATCCTACTTATCTCCACCCCCCTGATCCCTAACTCCACCCCTAATCCTACCCATCTCCACCCCTTAGATCCAGATCCAACTCCTCCCACCTTACATATACCTAAACCCTCCATCTCTGCCCCCTGATCCCTAACCCCACCCCTAATCCTACCCATCTCCACCCCCTGATCCCTAACTCCACCCCTAATCCTACTCATCTCCACCCCCCTGATCCCTAACTCCACCCCTAATCTTACCCATCTCCGTGCCCTGATCCCTAACCCCACCCGTAATCCTACTCATCTCCGCCCCCCTGATCCTTAACCCCACCCTTAAACCTACCCATCTCCGCCCCCTGATCCCTAACACCACCCCTAATCCTACCCATCTCCACCCCTTAGATCCAGATCCAACTCCTCCCACCTTACATATACCTAAACCTACCAAACTCCGCCCCCTGACCCTTAACCCCACCCCTAATCATACCCATCTCCGATCCCTGATCCCTTACCCCACCCCTAATCCTACTCAACCCACCCCTTAGATCCAGATCCAACTCCTCCCACCTTACATATACCTAAACCTACCCATCTCCACCCCTAATTCCTAACTCCACCCCTAATCCCACCCATCTCCACCCCCTGATCCCTAACCCCACCCCTAATCCTACCCATCTCCGCCCCCTATCCCTAATCCTAGCCATCTCCACCCTCTGATCCCTAACCCCAGCCCTAATCCCACCCATCTCCGCTCCTGATCCCTAATCCTACCCATCTCCACCCCTGATCCCTAACTCCACCCCTAATCCTACCCATCTCCGCCCCTGATCCCTAACCCCACCCCTAATCCTACCCATCTCCACCCCTAATCCCTAACCCCACCCCAATCCTACCATCTCCGCCCTCTGATCCTAACCCCACCTGTAATCCTACCCATCTCCGCCCCCTGATTCCTAACCCCACCCCTAATCTTACCCATCTCCGTCCCCTGATCCCTAACCCCACCCCAATCCTACCCATCTCCGCCCCCTGATCCCTAACCCCACCCGTAATCCTACCCATCTCCGCCCCCTGATCCCTAACCCCACCCCTAATCCTACCCATCTCCACCCCCTGATCCCTAACCCCACCCCTAATCTTACCCATCTCAGCTCCCTGATCCCAAATCCTAGCCATCTCCACCCTCTGATCCCTAACCCCAGCCCTAATCCCACCCATCTCCGCCCCTGATCCCTAATCCTACCCATCTCCACCCCCTGATCCCTAATTATAGCCACCCTCTAATCCCTAACCCCACCCCTAATCCTACCCATCTCCTCCCCTGATCCCTAACCCCACCCCAATCCTACTCATCTCCGCCCTCTGATCCCTAACCCCACCCCTAATCTTACCCATCTCCGTCCCCTGATCCCTAACCCCACCCCAATCCTACCCATCTCCGCCCCCTGATCCCTAACCCCACCCCTAATCTTACCCATCTCCGCCCCCTGATCCCAAATCCTAGCCATCTCCACCCTCTGATCCCTAACCCCAGCCCTAATCCCACCCATCTCCGCCCCTGATCCTAATCCTACCCATCTCCACCCCTGATCCCTAACCCCACCCCTAATCCTACCCATCTCCTCCCTCTGATCCCTAACCCCACCCCAATCCTACCCATCTCCGCCCTCTGATCCCTAACCCCACCCCTAATCTTACCCATCTCCGTCCCCTGATCCCTAACCCCACCCCAATCCTACCCATCTCCGCCCCCTGATCCCTAACCCCACCCGTAATCCTACCCATCTCCGCCCCCTGATCCCTAACCCCACCCCTAATCCTACCCATCTCCGCCCCCTGATCCCTAACCCCACCCTAATCTTACCCATCTCCGCCCCTGATCCCTAACCCCACCCCAATCCTACCCATCTCCGCCCCTGATCCCTAACCCCACCCCTAATCCTACCCATCTCCGCCCCCTGATCCCTAACCCCACCCCTAATCTTACCCATCTCCGCCCCTGATCCCTAACCCCACCCCTAATCCTACCCATCTCCGCCCCTGATCCCTAACCCCACCCCAATCCTACCCATCTCCACCCCTAATCCCTAACCCCACCCCTAATCCTACCCATCTCCGCCCCCTGATCCCTAACCCCACCCCTAATCCTACCCATCCTACCCAATCCTACCCACCAAATGAGCAAATCAACCGGGTGCGCTCATGTGGGCGGCTCCTGTAGCAGCAGGGCTGGTCGCCATGGTAGCGAGGGAGAGTGACAGTCCCCCAGTCAATCATTGCATTCGTTCAGAATGGAAAGAGAAGCTGTGTTTATTACAGCCCTAAGAGGACTACAGACACTCGATTTTACTCTCTATATTTTAGATATGTATTGGTTTATAAAGACAGTTTAAACAAATTTGGAAAAAGTGTTTTAGAAACAAACTGCCTACCCTGCCTTTATTATCCAACACAATCTACCAAGAGCAGAGCAAATTAGCGCCTGGTTGAAGACATGCTTATTTTTGGGTGGTAAATAAAGGCGCAAATACCAGTAAATTGACTTAGTAAATCACCTCGCTTGATTCATTTAAATACTTTCCTCCTATAATTTTTGCATCTGAAAGGGAAACTCCTACACATGTAATGCCTTTCCAGCGATAACTTTAGTAAATCCTGACAGTAGTTTGTTTAATTTTTTTTTTTTTTTTTACTGTTAAAAATCATCTAAATCATTTAAAGAAATGTTTACTTGGACTCAGACAGTGATAAGGACTGACTTGCCATGTTTCAAACTGCTTTATTTTCAAGAATCTCCTTCCTGCTTTTAGTTTCCTTTTATGTCTATCATCAGGATCTGTTTTCTTGTAATGTCCTGGTTGTGGCTGGTTTGCGTGTAAGAGTGTGTTTTTCATTTGTCTGTGTACCTAAAGCCAATGTTTACTGGCTTCATTTGAGTAAACTCTTGTGTCACTCTCTATTTGTCTCTTTCTCTCTCCACAGGGAAAAGAGATTATTGAGTTTCACCTCAAACAACTGCAGGAGGAAGGCATTAACCACGTGCCCCGCTGGGTCCCTCCTCCCGCCGCCATCACGCCTGTCAGCTTAGCCAGAGCTGTCCCAGCATGCAACAGTCGAGCTCATCCCAGCTCCACAGACGTCCTGCCAGGCTCTCCGGATGGTGAGATGAATCATGCTTCTGCCCTCGGGCGTGTGCTCATAAATATAATAATGCAGGAGGAATGATAACGAGAATCAACATGTCCAAATTCTAGTGAGCTTCCTTGTTGTCTACTTTCTTCAAATTCTGTACTTTCAAAGGCAGCGTCCTAACTGGTCCCTGAAAGAAACAAACCTCACTTATAACAATAATATATAACTTTGCAACTACATGTTAGTTAACTCTCATTGATTGTTAGGTTTAGAATAAGTTGACATGTAGTTGCAAAGTTACTTATAGTCAGTAGTAGAATGCCATCACTTTCCCATTAATGTTACTGGAAGAAGGTTTGTTAGCTTGGCTTACAGCTTGTCTTATTGATATTGACTCTTTCGAAGCTCTCTCCTTTGGCATGTTACAAACAGTAGTCCTAACACAAGGTGATTTAACTCACTTTTAATGAGTTTAATGGTTATTTAAGGGTGATTAACTCACTATTGATTTCAAAGAAAGGAGGGAACATGTTCAAATGATCATATCAGGACTGTTTTCTGAAAAGAGTCAATGATCTCCTACACTTTTCTCAGCTTTCTGATGGTTGTGTGTTTGCAGACAAGTTGGATGCAGACTACATCTCCCGCTATCTGGGACAGCTGACTCCTTTCCAGGAGAGCTGCCTCATTCGCCTACGACAGTGGCTGCAGGAAACACACAAGGGAAAGGTGAGTACAATGTTCAGAATAAAGCACTAGTAGGGGACAACGTGGCTATAGGTGCATTGATTTTTTATTTTTGTACTCTAGTCTAAACCACTAGATGCCACAACTCATTCCTAAACACACAGGATTCACTATGCATGTGGAGATTTGGTTGATCCTTGAAACGATGGCAGGAAGCAACGCAAAGTTGATTTTTAGCTAATTTGATCTAATATTTAATGTTTTAAAAAAAATGTAAAGGTGGACCCAAGTACACAACTACCTTACTTGAGTGAAAGTACAGGTACTACTTGTCAAATATTACACTGTTACAAGTAAAAGTTGTAAAGAATGATTTTTACTTAAGTACTTTTAAAAACAGGTACTTCTGTACTTTTACTTAAGTATCAAAAGTACAAAATAAATGTCAATGCATTGTTATATTATTGTTGCATTAGTACAGCAACCAGTGAATACATTGACCAGTTAGGGTTGCCGCGGTGAGGAAAATTTCCCACCGGTTAATCGACGTGTGACAACACCGGTAATCCCGGTGTCACCGTGGAGGGCAGGGCGGGGGGGTTAAATAGCTTTTAAATGCGTGCGCGTTATACTTTCACTTTCGAAATAAGCGTCAATTGCTTAAATGGACAAAAAAAAAACAACTCGCTGATAATAAAACTTTTATTTATAGACTTTTATTAGCATAACGAACGAATAAAAATAACCCCATGCATAGGCTGAAAAAAGTGAAAATCGGCAAAATGTGGGCCCAAACAAATAAGAACCATAAAACGTTTATTAACGAATAAGAAAATAAAATAGGCCTAAATAAATTACACAAAGTTTAAATGAGATAAAACCAATTAAAAAGAGACGAATATAAAATAAAAACTTCAAAACGGACCTTAGCCTACATAAATGACATACTTTCACTTTCGAAATAAGCATCAATTGCAATTCAGCGTCAATTGCTGGAATGGAGAAGAAAAAATAAAAAACAACTCGCTGACAATAAACTTTTATTTAGACAGCCCTTTATTATAATAATAAACGAATAAAATATAGACAGAACTTTTATTAGCATAACGAACGAATAAAAATAACCCCATGCATAGGCTGAAAAAAGTGAAAATCGGCAAACTGTGGGCCCAAAAAAAAAAATAAAACGTTTATTAACGAATAAGAAAACAAAATAGGCCTAAATAAATTAAACAAAGTTTAAATAAGATAAAACCAAATAAAAAGAGACGAATATAAAATAAAAACTTTAAAAAGGACCTTAGCCTACATAAATGACAGCACTCTAAAAAAAACACTATAAATTGGCATTTATTAACATTAATATATATTGGCCAAAATATTGCCAAACAGGCGCTTTTGCATTGCGTTTTGACACCAAATCTTCCGCCATTATCTTGCTTTTCTGTAATTTGACTCGTTCTCGTCTCCACACGCGCTAAATGGAATCCTGATGCTTGCTGATCTGTGACGTGACGGCACGCGTTGCGCAGTTCATTTTTAATTATAATGCTCTCTTCAGAACTAAATAATTGAAAATTATTATTTTTAATTAATTCAAATAAATATTTTAGCAAAAACGAATACTTTAAAAAAAAAAGTCAAGACATCGCGGTGTCACGGTGGGAAAGTGATGTCACCGGTGATGGGGCTTAAAACCGGTAACACCGTCAACACCGTCTATCGCGGCAAGCCTATGACCAGTTTGTAGTTTTGTAGTGTGGAGCTTTAAGAATGTCACAAAACCTATAGAAATTAAACAACTGAATATATAAAAAAGATATCATCTTCATTCATCTCCATAATCATCTTCATTTTTTTATCTAGCACTCCTACCACCCCAACAAAAGAAGTACACATCTATGTGTATTCATTCTTACACATTTGAATCAAATGGTCTGTAAATACAAGAAAAAAAAACTAGCTATACTACCATAACTGTATAACTAGGGATGGGTACCGAAACCCGGTATTAAACGGGCCCCGGTGCTGAATTTTGAAAGACCACTGTATCGATAAGCTCGGACGTTATCGGTTCTGCTGTCGGTACTGGAGAAATTAAGTAAATACACGTAGGTTACAATGTATTCCTATAAAGACCAGTCCCTCCAGAAAAACGTGATTATGCGATCGCTGAATTCAATGCAAAATCAGCCAAAGTCCGCATATTTATGCGGGGGCCGCATTTTTTCAAATACGCCGCACTTTCGCCGCATAAATTGCCGATTTCCGTGCAAAATATGCGGGGTTTGCATAATTTCATAATCCTCGCATTTTCGTTGCAAAAAAAAGTCACATGTATCTTAGCAAAAAGTTGAAAAATGTTGCGTTTGCTTCACACAAGAGCAGCCATTTCCCCCTGTTTCCATGGGAACGTTATGAAGTGACGCAATTACGCGACGCCAGACAGACTCACGGAGGCGATTGACATGATCTCACAAATCGAACTCGTATAACTGTCTGTCGAACGTTCTACTGTCACATCGTTACTTAATAAACAACATAAGATAAAAGTAGTAGCCTAGCATCAAACAGAAATTACCCGCACACATGCAGACAATTCAACAGGGAGCGCGCAGCTCTTAAAGGGGCCACACCTTATTTACACTCTTACAGTCTGAAATAAAACAAGATGAGAAATTAAATATTCCCAGCGCTTTCTATGATGTAGTATGCTTGTTTATCAAAGGTAGTAATAAGAAATGACTCTTATATTAACAGGATGTTGGGGGAATCACTTTTTTTCTCTTTTTCATCAAACCACAATTTTTGCAAGTTCCCTCAATTTTTGCAAATTCCAGCAATTTCATCGCATAAAATTGCATAAATATCCCACATATTCCATCGCATTTTTAAAGAAAACTGGCCGCATAATCAATAATTTTTTGCCCACAACAATCACAAAAAAACTCTGCGTTTTTCTGGAAGGACTGAATACTATTATGGTAAATGTTAAATATAAATCGCACATTTTTTCACAAATTTTTGGAAATTACCACCACAAAATCAGTCATTTTGATCGCAAAAATCACAAAAAAAAATCGTGAAATCCTGGAGGGACTGAAAGACGTTATCTTGAACATGTTTATCTCGCCAGCCATTTCTATATATAAAATATTTTAATTAAACCATTTGTCTGTGATGCAAATTTGCTATTCGCAGTTCAGAAGAGAGAGAGAAGAGAGAGCGATCTCTCACGCGGAGCCACAGCACGCGCAACACGACAGCCCTGCTTAATGAGTGACAATGAGGACAGAACTAAACATTCAAACGAGGTTACACTTTAGATCTGGGATATTATTCTAATGTTATTTTAGATTTCGGCTTCCAAAGATTATAAGAAGATATTTGAGATACACCCGTTAAAAACGAGACGCATCATCTGTCCAGCGCAACTTCCTTCACTTCACAGCACTGCGGAGCACTGTCAGTTCTTCCTAAACCCAAACGTAACCGTCAGAATCAGCACGATCAGCATTTGTTGCAAAATGCTGTCTCTACTGTTGCTAGATCATAAAATGCCTACTAAAAACACAAAAACCTGCGCAAGAGACGCTGTTCACAAGGCAGTGCGCGCTCCGAAACGGACTGCAACGAGACAAGAAGAGTATAGCCTACTTTGGGCTTCGTGTGTCCTAAACTATCAAATATACATAAAAATGTCAAAATGACCAGCTCTGAGATTCACTTGAACACAATTATGTCTTAAATGGACGTAAATAATAGGGAGAAAATGATGGTGCTTCAGTTACCGGTTAGATTTGCTCTCGGTCTTAAAGGGGCAGCAGTCTAATAAATCTGCTGACGATTCAGCCATTAATGCAAATCAAACAACAAAAGCACTTGAATGAGCAACTTTAGATTTAATAAGCATTAATCTATCTATGATAAACTATAGAGTGCTATTTTACATTTGATTACTAAATTAGATTTATTTTCAGACAGAATATATTACCTAACAAGTAATGTTAGTAGACCTTCCTGAAATTAAAGCACTGTGTATATAATTTGTATCTTTGATTAATTGTATCCTATCTTTTGTATATAAAACAATAAGCATTACTTTTTTAATTTTTTTTTACATTTCAAAATATAAAGTTAATCATGTTCTTAATTCTTAAAAAAACCAAAACAAAACAAAACAAAAAAACACCAAAAAGAACCGATAAGAATACCGTTAAAGTACCGGATCGATAAGCAGTATCGGTAAGAGAAGTAATACCGATAAAACCTTAACGATACCCATCCCTATGTATAACTGCCCAACAGCAATACTGATTTAACAAACAGCACAACATAAATACTTATTTGCCATGAAAACAAAACTTTCAAAACATTACTTGTGACAACGATACGGTCTCTCACAGATCACTAGTAAAGAGAAAACGTAAATCGTCAAACTTCCCAACACGTGGGGTTGATCACTGATTGGCTGTCTGTCAGTCGCAAAAAAACAATCACGTTTTAGAGAAGGAAAAAAATCATGCCATGCCAATCATCACTACTTTCTACTCAAGGACTTTGACAGAAATGTAGTGGAGTAAAAAGTACGATATTTGTCTTTCAAATGTAGTGAAGTTAAAGTAACAAGTTTCCAGACTCAAGTAAAGTACAGATACTCAAAAAGTGTACTTAAGTACAGTACTCAAGTAAATGTACTTTGTTACTGTCCAAATAATGTAATCGATTTAGGTAGCAAATGCGAATCCATAAAATCACTAAAAATATTGTCTTGTTAATGGTTTTCAGCTTTTTTTAAATCAACAGTTTTGAATTTTAAGAAAATGTAAAAGTATGTTATTTGAGGTAAAAAGGTCCCTGCTCGTTTGCTAAAGGCATGATACTTCACGTGGCTGACTTTTCTATTTGTTCACATGACATGGTTAGATTTAGATGGTTAATGTCAATGGTTCTGTTAAAGTCCTCCTGTAGTCAATAGGTTTATCCCTTAAAACATTTTTTCTTTGGACCAAAAATTCTTCAAGCCTTAAAATAGCTTGAATCTAATATGCGGTTCTATGAATATGCAAATGAGTTTTTGAGACTGTCTTTGGTTCACTGCAGTTTTAAGGAGAAAATGGTTTTGACTTCTAAATTTGCAAATGTTTTGTCATAAAGCATATTAAAAACACCAGATAGACACATAAACAACATTAAAAGCTGGATTTTCACCACAGAGGGACTTTAATAAAATCATATAATAAAATATGATATATTTTTACTACTGTTAAGCCAATTTAAATTATTTTTTATTTAAATTTATTAACATATTTTTTTCTCTGTATTTTTAAAATGGACAAATTGTAATGAAAGTGTATTTATTTAACAAAAATAAGTTATGAAGTGATTGTTTTAAACAAAACCTGTATTATGAAAACCATGTTTTCATCATTGATAATGTTTCTTGATCATCAAATCCGTATATTACAATGATTTCTGAAGGATCATGTGACACTGAAGACTTTTTTTTAATTTTTAAGTTATTTTAAAATAAAAATATATTTTTTTAATTTTTAAGTTAATTTTAGAAGTTATTTTTAATTGTAATAATATTTCACAATATTGACTGTATCTTTGATCAAATAAATGCAGTCTTGGTGAGCAGAAGAGACTTCTTTTTTTTTTTTAAATGGGGGATTTTATTTGAACGAATTTCTTAATCACATGTGTATGAATCCCTTCAGATCCCTAAAGACGAGCACGTGCTGCGTTTCCTGCGCTCACGGGACTTTAATCTGGAAAAGGCCAAAGAGGCTTTGTGCCAGACGCTCACGTGGAGGAAGCAGCATCAGATCGACTTCCTGTTAGACACGTGGCAGTGTCCGCAGCTCCTGCAGGACTATTACACCGGAGGCTGGCATCACCATGACAAAGGTCCAGCACATTTAGTTTCACCTTTTTACTTTAGACATTTCCACAGAACTAATGGAGATGCATTTCCCCTCTCAATCCTGCATTTGCGTTACTGATCAAACAGAGGAACTGGTCTGAGCGAGTGTTTTCCATAGGCTGTATTATTATCAAACAAGCAGAAGTTAATGTGGTTATGTTCTTCTCTGTGTGTAATTTAGATGGACGTCCTCTCTATATCCTTCGACTTGGACAAATGGACACCAAAGGTTTAGTGCGGACTCTAGGAGAAGAGACTCTTCTGAGACATGTAAGAGTTAGACAAATACAAATAGTTTGAATAGTTACAGTCATACTGTTGTGTTAATGCCTTAGTGCTTTACCACAGAGCAAGTTTTTGGGGATGTTAAGATTTAGATCTATCTATATTGTATTTATAGAGGTGTCTATTGTAGCTTGTATGTTAGTTCAGCAGTGACTCAGGCATTTGAAGCCATTTAGATATTCAAATATTGGTCTGTTTTGTTTCTAAGCAAGAGAATGCAATTCTCAAAAAGTGTTATCACAAGTTAAAAAACCCTGCTTGTCACTCGGGGCAAACGACTGAGCGTTTAAAGGTAATTAGGAGATTTAAATATTGGGTGGTTTTGTTTCTGTAGAGTAAAAATGCTTTAAAAGCATCAATGAAGATATAAAAATAGCAGGTGTTCACAGAGTCTGATGTGTTGAGAATGTTTGGGAAATTTAGATTATGGCTTTAATTTCATTTTATAACATCTCTGATTTCATACAGAAGCACTACACTCACCTAAAGGATTATTAGGATCACCTGTTCAATTTCTCATTAATGCAATTATCTAATCAACCAATCACATGGCAGTTGCTTCAATGCATTTAGGGGTGTGGTCCTGGTCAAGACAATCTCCTGAACTCCAAACTGAAGGTCAGAATGGGAAAGAAAGGTGATTTAAGCAATTTTGAGTGTGGCATGGTTGTTGGTGCCAGACGGGCCGGTCTGAGTATTTCACAATCTGATCTCAGTTACTGGGATTTTCTGGCACAACCATTTCTAGGGTTTACAAAGAATGGTGTGAAAAGGGAAAAACATCCAGTATGTGGCAGTCCTGTGGGCGGAAATGCCTTGTTGATGCGAGAGGTCAGAGGAGAATGGGCCGACTGATTCAAGCTGATAGAAGAGCAACTTTGCAGCAAAGCATTTGTGAAGCCACAACACACACAACCTTGAGGCGGATGGGCCACAACAGCTGAAGACCCCACCGGGTACCACTCATCTCCACTACTAATAGGAAAAAGAGGCTACAATTTGCAAGATCTCACCAAAATTGGACCGTTGAAGACTGGAAAAATGTTGCCTGGTCTGATGAGTCTCGATTTCTGTTGAGACATTCAGATGGTAGAGTCAGAATTTGGCGTAAACAGAATGAGAACATGGATCCATCATGCCTTGTTACCACTGTGCAGGCTGGTGGTGGTGGTGTAATGGTGTGGGGGATGTTTTCTTGGCACACTTTAGGCCCCTTAGTGCCAATTGGGAATGGTTTAAATGCCACGGCCTACCTGAGCATTGTTTCTGACCATGTCCATCCCTTTATGGCCACCATGTCCCCATCCTCTGATGGCTTCTTCCAGCAGGATAATGGGTCATGTCACAAAGCTGGAATCATTTCAAATTGGTTTCTTGAACATGACAATGAGTTGACTGAACTAAAATGGCCCCCACAGTCACCAGATCTCAACCCAATAGAGCATCTTTGGGATGTGGTGGAACGGGAGCTTCGTGCCCTGGATGTGCATCCCACAAATCTCCATCAACTGCAAGATGCTATCCTATCAATATGGGCCAACATTTCTAAATAATGTTTTCAGCACCTTGTTGAATCAACGTCACGTAGAATTAGGGCGAAAGGGGGTCAAACACAGTATTAGTATGGTGTTCCTAATAATCCTTTAGGTGAGTGTACATCGTTTTGTACTGTGGTTGAACGTCACATATATATTATGTAAGCACGTAATGCTTTAATCCCACAGTGAGAAGTCAAGAAACAAAAAAATATCCATTTTTGTGTAAGCAGTAGAAAAATGTCTTGGTATAAACCAGGTTACATCAGGGATTCAAATGAAATAAAATGACCATATTCACTGACCCTTGACCCAACTTTTAGGTGCTGTCTATCAATGAGGAAGGTCTCAGACACTGTCAAGAGAAAACCAAAATATTTGGAAAACCAATCAGGTACTTGATTTATTCATGCATTACCAAACAGATCATGTACTTGTATTAATCTATAGTGGCCATTCCCCTCGATTTGTCTGTCATTTAATAGTTACTTCAGATGTAATTGCATTAAATACTGTATAGACAATTGAACAATTATATATAAAACTATAGTGAATTTAACGTCTAATGTTAAAATCTATGTTTTTAATGTAACATTCTCCTTTTAAACACTGAACGGTCAGTTCAAGAATAATTTATGCCATTTTATATTATTTATTCGAAAGAATTAAAGAGGTTGATGAGTGATATAGAAAGTAATTAGTAGTAAGTAATGCTTTTTAGAAATGCGTTATGGAGAGAGTAATCTAATTACACTTTTGAAGATGGTAATTAATTACTTTTTTAGAGTAACTTCCTCAAAACTGGCCATAATAAATGGGAATCTAAAGGAATTTTGATTGTTCTGGATTCGTTGTGACGTTGTGTTTGTATTGTACATGGTACCTCTACCCTAAATAAATAAGTGCTATTGTGCTGTAGTTGTTGGACGTGTCTGGTGGATCTTGAGGGGTTAAATATGAGGCATCTGTGGAGACCGGCCATCAAAGCCTTGCTGAGGATGATAGAAGTTGTAGGAGCCAACTACCCTGAAACACTGGGCCGTCTCCTCATAATAAGAGCACCCAGAGTGTTTCCTGTGCTCTGGACTTTGGTAAACACACTCATAGGATTATGATACACTTAGAACATATGTTAACAAATAGTTAAAGATATTAGGAAACACTGAGATGAGCACCTACTCAATCTTCATTTAATGGGTGTTAATGTCTCCACACACACCAACACATCACAGTTAAAGGGTTAGTTCACCCAAAAATGAAAATTCTGTCAGTATTTACTCTCCCTCATGTTGTTCAAACCCCGTAAGACCTTCGTTCATCTTCGGAACACAAATTAAGATATTTTTGAGGAAATTTGAGAGCTGGATCACTCCTGCATACTAGTCCATAGGCTTCTTGAGGGATTGAAACTTGCCGGCCTCAAAGTTATTAAAGACATCGTTAAAATAGTCCAAGTGACTATAGTGGCTCAATCTTAACTTTATCGAGCGACGAGAACACTTTTTGTGCGCAAAAATAACTTTATTTCAACTATTCTCTTCCTTCTCTGTGGACCACGAGACGGTTCACTAGTTTAACAGTGTATGATCTGCTGTTGTACGTCACACACACGACCAGCGTCGGCCAATAGTAAGCCTACTTGTGACGTAGCTCTACGCAATCACACTACGCTAACTGACTAGAGGCCCACAGAGTGATGAATATGATTGGTTGAAATAAAGTCATTATTTTTGTGGTGACTTTTAAGATTGAGCCACTGAAGTCACTTGGACTATTTTAACAATGTCTTTAATAACTTTCCGAGGCTGGCAAGTTTCAATCCCTCAAAAAGCCTATGGACTAGTATGGAGGAGTGATCCAGCTCTCAGATTTCATCTTAAATATCTTAATTTGTGTTCGGAAGATGAATGAAGGTCTTACGGGGTTGGAACAACATGAGGGCGAGTAATTACTCACAGAATTTTTATTTTTGGGTGAACTATCCCTTTAAATGTCATGTTAGCATGGTGTTATTTCACTCATCTGGCCTTCCTCTATTTCCGGGCTTCTGTAAATGTTGGTGTGCCTTTGTTCTGCTCTCAGGTGAGTCCATTCATCGATGAAAACACTCGGAATAAGTTTCTCATCTACGCTGGGAATGACTACCAGGGGCCTGGAGGTCTGGTGGACTACATCAACAGAGACTTCATCCCGGACTTCTTAGGAGGAGACTCTCTGGTGAGTGAGATCTGACATATTAACCCACGTGTCAAACTCTGGCTATGTCTACATTCATCCGGATACGTTTGAAAACGGCGTTTTCGTTAAAATGCGTTCTCCGTCCAACATAGCGTTTTCCCCAAATACATCCACCTTGGAGAGTGTTTTCATAAAGGTTTGTTTTCATTAATAAAAACGCAGTCTCAGTGTCGGAAGGCCAAAACACAGAGAAAATGGCGTACGCAAATGATCCGGCTGCTTCCGTCTTCAATATGGACAAGGCCTCAGTCCTGCAGAGTGTAACTCGAAAACATCGGTTTAGAAGTTTCTAGTAATCCTGAAGACCTTGTTTAGCTGGTTTGGGTGTGTTTAATAAGTGATGAGTGTTTGGAAAGCCTGAAATGCTGCTGTATTCTTTAGTAAATGTAGATAGTTGATGGAGTTCACCAAGCTGGTCACCAGAGTGAGATGATAAGAGTCTTTACTAAGAGCTGCATAGCATATTCAGAGAGTTGGGGTCTCATATTACTCATGTTGTAGAGAACAAATCTGAATGACAAAGCTGTTGTTGACATGTGGTCATGTGGTTGGTTCTCATCTGGCCTGGTTTGATTAAGCTGAAGCTTTCAGGAAAGGAGAGATAGGCCTATATGTTGATACACACGGGACTGGAATATGCTGGAACACGGTTTAGAAGTGTCACACACCTTCCCTAGGCCAACAACTCATTCCCAGATATTAATTTGCATTCTTATATTTGAATGTTGATCTTTGTGTGCCTATTTATCATAAAATGATACAGTTCAATAGCACTTCAACGGGCATTGAACCCTTGTAAAACTATAGTACGTTTTAGCATACTTTAGCAAATGAGTATTTATAATGGAAATAATATACTTTAAAAGAATATACTTGCATACAAAATTAATGTAAAGTTTTCGGACACTTAATTGCACTTAAATTCAAATGAATTATAGTTTAACATCAATATTGCATGCAATTAGTTGAACTTTCGAGTGTTTTTTGACCCACTTAAGTAGGATTTAAGTACATTTGCATGTAACTTCATTATTACTTCTATTGTCTTTGAAATATGAAGTTACTGCTCAATGACAAGCTTTTATGGTAAACAAAAAATAAAATGGCATTTCTATTGAAACTTGTAATGTATGTCATGTAATAATAGAAACCTTACTATTACAAATTATTCAACTAAATTCAAATATATTTGAATACATTTTAATTTATTTAAAATTTTACCTTAACACATTACAGTTCAAATCAAAATCCACTTTAAAGCATGACAAAATATTATTAAAACAGTTTAAGTAAACTTTTAATTTCACATTATTACAAAGTGCATGTTTTTAAAAGCGTCCTTAGGAAACTTTTGACATGAAAGTGTCTCTCTTTAAGTGCACTTAAGTTTTATGATCTACAAGTACAGTTGATTAAAAATATACTTGGAAGTACACCACAAGTGCACATTAAATACAATTAGGCACAAGAGAATATAAAACACATCAATGTCATACGTTGTTTCTCTCCTGGAACGTGAGTAAAATAATTCAATATCATCATGACATGGGTTCATGCTGTTGTGATATGATATATGTTTGATATCAATGAATACATGAAACACTGCCATTATAATCAGAATTTGCTGGCCATATCACTCGTTTGTGGTGGTGTTTTATGTTCCTTGTACTCGTGTATAATTATTGTACAAGTATAATTGTATATTTGTGGTCTTTTATTTATGCTGTATGGAAAACACTGTGGCAACGCTGACCTTAAATTTTTGCCTTGAAGCCCCAGAAAACCAAGAGATGTCACTCTATAAAAATATGACTGTAATCTAATCTGTATGTCTGTGTTTCTCGTGTTTATCCAGTGTGATGTTCCTGAGGGAGGTCTGGTTCCCAAGTCTCTGTACCGTACGGCCGAGGATTTGGAGAACGAGGAGGTTAAACTGTGGAATGAATCTATCTACAAGAGCGCGAGTGTGTTGAAGGGATATCCACATGAGGTACAGCTCATACACTCAACACTCAACAACACACAGCTTTCACTGGTTACTTCAGCTGGCCAAAGTTCACTTTCACAACAGTGTGTTAATAAGTGGTGCCGTCTGTTGGTCATAAGAAGACATGCAGCGTGAAGGACAAATACTGTTAGTCTAGTTCTGTTTGTAGTGTATTATTGTTACCATGAACTTCAGAATTGAGTGTGAATTTGAATAGGAATAGACAATTTCATGAGTTCATACTAAAAAATATTTTTAAAAAGCTGTTTCAAACCTGAATTGATTTCTTTCTTCTGCTGAAAACCAAGGGATCTATTTTGAACAATGCCGATGACCAAACAGTTGATGGAAATATAGTAGGAAAAGACTCTATGAAAGTCAATGGAGTCCATCAACTTGTTTGGTTATTGACGTTCTTCCAAAATTTGACTTTTACTTCCTTCTGTAAATTGTAATTTGAATGTTTTGCTGCACCAACTCAACCTCCAGATTCGCTGTGTGATGCGTTCTGAAATAAGGATAAATCCCTTCGTTCATCTTCAGGTGCTGATAGAGATCAAAGACGTGTCGTCCGTCATCACGTGGGACTTTGACGTGTGTAAAGGCGACATGATCTTCAACATCTACCACTCCAGAAGAGTCCCTCAGCCCGCTAAAAGAGACGGTCTGACCGCGCACAACCTCGCCTGCCCCGGCGCAAACAACGTCCAGCTCATTGACCGATCGTGGATGCTGGGACACGACTACAGCATGGTGGAGACGGCCCTCACCTGCCGAGAGGGAGAGAGCGTACAGGTGAGGGAATCTCACCAAACCTCACCAAACGTTAGGGCTGGCCGATATATCGCATGACTTTGATTAGTAGTTCCTTGATTAGTAGTAAATCACCTTCACCTGCTTTCAGATGGAAGACATGATGCAAATATGAGTGTTAAATTAACACTCAAGAGTGTCAAAGTTGATGAGATAATTAAGTGATTAATTTAGTGATGATTGAGCATTATTGAAGATACCTGATGTTAACAAGCAGAATCACTGAAGGAGAAAATCACAAATTGTAAGTCATCGATTATGATGAGCAGTGTTTGCTTCAGTTGGACTCTAATACTTTCACTTTAAATTTTGTTTGTCTGCTGTTATTGATTTATAACAGTCAAATGAACAAAGAAAAGTGTGATCTGATAGTGTTGGTTATGTTTTAGGATAATCATGCTGTGATCTGAAAAATGAAACGTATTTACATAGTTTGGTTTAACTTGTTAGCAACAGCTTTGTGATGCCACAGTATATGACTACCTGCATTTTTCTTATAATCCAAAATATTTAACTAACATTGTACTGATCAAAAACCTTTCAAATGAATTTATTTAGAAACACAGACATCAATAAATAGTCGGTGAATCTCAACAATGGTGACAATAATAACCCATGTTGCAGTGGCTGCCACCAATCACAACTCATTAATGGCTCCCATCATGCATTGTGCTATGAATAAATTATAATCTGAGTTGTCTATATTCTGCTTGTCACCATTGTTGAGATGCATTGACTGAATGTTGATGTCTGTGTGTATCTAAAAGAACAACTTTTAGAAAAAAATTTTTTATATTAAATCCAAAATTCTGGATATTTATGCAGAATCACAGTTATGCTGTGACAACAGCACAAATCACAAACATAAAATTCAAATGATGACTGTCATAATACAACCAACTCCATTAGATCACTTTTTGTCCTTGTTCATCTGGCAGTTATAACTCAGATACAGCAGCCAAACAAAATCTAAAGTTAATAGTTTAAGGGTCAAGAGCCCAACTAAAGCAAACAATGATCGCCATAACGGTGACTTACAATTTTAGATTTTCTCCTTCAGTGATTCTGCTTGTAACATCAGGTGTCTTCAATAATGCTCAATCATCACTCAATTAATCACTTAATCATCTCACACTCCTGAGTGTGGACTTATAAACTCCCAAGATTGTTAATTTAACACTGAGCCGATCGTTTTTGCTGTGTACGAAGAGCCGTAGTTAACTGACAAGCTGAGACATATCGCATTAATTATCGTTGGCGATACGTCCGCGATATTAATGCGATATGGCTCAGCTTGTCAGTGAACTACGGCTCTTTGTAGAAAATGCCGCTCCATCTGAAAGCAGGTGAAGGTGATTTACTACTAATCAAGGAACCGGCTTTACTGACGAGATGCGCATAACAATATCGTGCGATAGATCACCCAGCCCTAGAATACGTTGATCATACCCTCATTCTCTTCCTTTGATCCACACGTTTCCCATCAGGGCTCTCATGTGACGCGCTGGCCTGGATTCTACATCCTGCAGTGGCGTCTTTACAGCACCCCAACATGCACTTCATCCAGTCGTCCGCGTGTCGACGACGTCCTGGCCTCGCTGCAGGTCTCCTCACACAAGTGCAAAGTCATGTACTTCACAGAGGTTCTGCACTCCACCGACTTCAGGTCTGGATGTTTACATGTTGCAAAGTTCTTCGCATAGGAAATGTGAATGAATCATGGCTGTTTAAAGGTGTGTGTGTGTGTGTGTGTGTGTTTCCATCAGGGGCTCCATGAGCAGCCTGGAGTCGAGTCACAGCGGTTTCTCTCTGCTCAGCGCCGCCACCACCTCCTCCAACCAGTCACACACAGACTCCACCGTTTCAAGATAGCATCTTCATCCGGCTGGAGAGACTTTTGGATTACTGATCATGAACAGTGTTAGAAGAGGTGCACATTAAACCAACACACGCCTGGATGAGTGGTGATCTTTTTCTGATCAACTATTGGCTCTCTGTAAATTAGGTTCCTGTACATTATTAGAAATAAATGTTTGGATGTTGTTTACTTCGGTCTGATTGAGCAACTTTATGGATGTGGTGCATAAAGCTAAACTATGCAACTTTTTGGTGTTTGGAATGAAAGAACAAAGTTTAACAATCATATCAAAAACTCATTTTCCAAACTGTTTTTTTATTAACCCTGAATCATTACGGTAAGTCTTTAAAATTGATTTTATTATTGATATTTTTGAGTTGTCAGGACGGATTTCATGGGAAACTGCTTGAAGTATGTTACCAATATATCCATGAATAATAGAAGGAACAATATATCGTGTTAAAGAAGGCCTGGTTACTGCTATATAAAGTAGAAGGTGTCGTAGTAAATAAAAAAGAAAACAAATAAATATAAAACGATTATGTCTCTTCAGAAGAATTTGATTAAACCACTGCATTCATAGTGATTTATTTTACGAACGCTTTCCGAATGTTTTAAAGTGTCAGAGGTCCCACTTTATATTACTTTATATCGGGTGTCTGACTATTATGAACTAAAATGTAATCATTTAATACAATGAACTTATTGTGTTCACACATGTTTATGCATAAGTACAAAAGTGTTTGTGTTTCTGTTCCCTGGTTACATTTTTATCATCTTCCCCTGTTTGGATATGCATGTTTCCTGTTCATCTTCCCTGTTTGGATTTTCTTTTTGTGTTTATTTAATAAATTATTGCTGCGAATAGATCCTTGCCTCTTCCCTGATAACCGTAACAATTAGCAGCAAAAGTGTTTCCCGATACAATACGAACACAATGAGTACATTGAGCTTATTTTTTATGGTAGTGAAAAACACCTGACAAAGTGTGACCGCATCAGTTTTCAGTGAGCAGACTTTCAATGGACGGACAAATCTCTCAGATTTCTTTTGAAATATCATCGTGTTTCAAAGATAAATGACTTTCAAAGATTTGGTTTGTAGAGGACAGAGCGTAACCGAATGGCAATGTCAATATATTGAGCTAGAGTGTAGTGAGGGGTATTGTCAGGCATGAGGTAAATTCAGTCCATTTCGAAAAATGTCTTTTAAGACAGCATCTTTAAAGTTCACCCCATGGCTAAGTTCATAAAAGTCGTCAACAAAATCCTCAATTGATCTTTCCTTGATATGGAGGTGATAAATGGAAATGAAAGTGACCGCAAAACGGCCATGATTGGCAGAGTTTTTGAATTTGAAAGAATTTTTTTTCACTTAGAATGATTTGAAAGATGACTGGCAGCAATTGAAAATTGAAAGCTGATATGTTCCTGAGTGTCTTGTGTCCCACAGAGTATGGGCTCCTGAGGAATTTGAACCAACGCTTCAGATTGCACAGAAGATATCAGAAAGAAGGTAAACGGTTAACAGACTATTTTGTTGACTTGAAAAAACTTGCTAGCAAGTTCCTCAATCATCCACTGAGGGATCAGTTTGTCTGTGGTATGCCAGGTGAAGCTTACCGCAAGCGTCTCTTATCAAAGAAGGATTTGACTTTCAAACAAGCCTGTGCAATTGCTCTTGGCCTTGAACTGGAATACATGGATACAAAGGAGTTGACAGAACGTGCAGACCATTCCAGTGGTTTTCACAAGGTTGCCCAATTTTCACAGTTAAGACAGAAGGCAAACCACAGAAAGGGTCTTCTCATTCAGGTTTCTCTGCATCGAGTTATGGAAAGATTAAAGATTTCCAGGCTAGCATCCGAGTTCAGCAAGTCAGTAAACCAATGTGAGTGCACTGATTGGTTAGACTTCCTACTTCCGCTAATTTCATTTAGCTCCTGTAGTCACTGAGATAGCGGCCTATCTTTCAGTTTTCCACCGGCCTGAAAACAGCCGGGGTCTAAACAGCAAAAGGGGTCTATATAAGGCCCTGTTTACACGAGAACGCTCGCGGGTGAAAACGTGAAAATATTTTATCGGATGTGCCTTTCGTTTACACGGCGACGGCGTTTTTGAGGCTTAAAAACACAAAAAAGTGAAACCACCCTCCAGAGTGGAAATCTTAAAAACGCTCCACCGCCGCGTTCCCGTGTAAACAGTAAAAACGCAAAAGTCTGCTTGACAGTGGAGGTTGTACGCAGGCGCGTGGACTTGGTGTTGTTGAATTTCACACACTTTTGCGTCACCATTTGCACGCGGATTTCCCAAACGAAACGCTCGTCTAAACGCAGAATAAAAAGTGATGACGCAACGCCACTTTTGCGTTTTCTCTTCAGAACCGTTTCCGTGTAAACATAGCCTAAAGCTGCAGAGAGAGCGCTGAGGAAGGGGAGAGACTAGCACTGTTTGAGGTTGTTTTGCCCTCTGGTCCCAAACGAGTTAGTGCTTGTCTTTGCTGTTGGGTTAACGTTGGGTGGAGAATACCTGTATCGATTCTGCTGTTTAATGGATAGTCAGGGAGTGAGGGAATCTTGTTTGTTTTCTTTTTTCTGTTATGTATAGGTAAGTTAATGTTAATTTCCCCTTTAGTTAGAGGTGTTTGTGTTTTCTTTTATTTGGGTCCACCTCATGAGGTAATGTTTTTGTTTGTATTTTGGTATATTTGTAATACATACATACATACATCTTCTTCCGCTCATCCGGGGCCGGGTCGTGGGGGCAGCAGTCTAAGCAGAGATGCCCAGACTTCCCTCTCCCTAGACACTTCCTCCAGCTCTTCTGGGGGGATACCGAGGCGTTCCCAGGCCAGCCGGGAGACATAGTCTCTCCAGCGTGTCCTAGGTCTTCCCCGGGGCCTCCGCCCAGTGGGACGTGCCCGGAACACCTCCCCAGGAAGGCGTCCAGGAGGCATCCGGAACAGATGCCCGAGCCACCTCAGCTGACCCCTCTCGATGTGGAGGAGCAGCGGCTCTACTCTGAGCTCCTCCCGAGTGACCGAGCTTCTCACCCTATCTCTAAGGGATCGCCCAGCCACCCTGCGGAGAAAGCTCATTTCAGCCGCCTGTATCCGGGATCTTGTCCTTTCGGTCATGACCCAAAGCTCATGACCATAGGTGAGAGTAGGAACGTAGATTGACTGGTAAATCGAGAGCTTTGCCTTACGGCTCAGCTCCTTCTTCACCACAACAGATCGGTACATCGACCGCATTACTGCTGAAGCTGCACCGATCCGTCTGTCAATCTCCCGTTCCATCCTTCCCTCACTCGTGAACAAAACCCCAAGATACTTAAACTCCTCCACTTGAGGAAGGATCTCTCCACCAACCTGAAGTGGGCAAGCCACCCTTTTCCGGCTGAGGACCATGGCCTCGGATTTGGAGGTGCTTATTTTCATCCCAGCCGCTTCACACTCGGCTGCAAACCGTCCCAGTGCATGTTGAAGGTCCTGGTATGAAGGGGCCAACACGACAACATCATCCGCGAAGAGCAGAGACGAAATCGTGTGGTCCCCAAACCTGACACCCTCCGGCCCCTGGCTGCGCCTAGAAATTCTGTCCATAAAAATTATGAACAGAACCGGCGACAAAGGGCAGCCCTGCCGGAGTCCAACATGCACCGGGAAGAAGTCTGACTTACTACCGGCAATGCGAACCAAGCTCCTGCTTCGGTCATACAGGGACCGGACAGCCCTTAGCAAAGGACCCCGGACCCCATATTCCCGAGCACCCTCCACAGGCCGCCTCGGGGGACACAGTCGAATGCCTTCTCCAAATCCACAAAACACATGTGGACTGGTTGGGCAAACTCCCATGAACCCTCCAGCACCCTGTAGAGAGTATAGAGCTGGTCCAGTGTTCCACGACCAGGACGAAAACCGCACTGTTCCTCCTGAATCCGAGGTTCCACTATCGGCCGTATTCTCCTCTCCAGTACCCTGGCATAGACTTTCCCAGGGAGGCTGAGAAGTGTGATCCCCCTATAGTTGGAACACACCCTCCGGTCCCCCTTCTTAAAAAGAGGAACCACCACCCCGGTCTGCCATCCCAGAGGCACTGTCCCCGACCGCCACGCGATGCTGCAGAGGCGTGTCAACCAAGACAGCCCCACAGCATCCAGAGACTTAAGGTATTCGGGGCGGATCTCATCCACCCCCGGTGCCTTGCCACCGAGGAGTTTCTTGACTACCTCGGTGACCTCAGCTAGGGTGATGGACGAGTCCACCTCCGAACCCTCAGCCTCTGCTTCCTCAATGGAAGACATGACGGCGGGATTGAGGAGGTCCTCGAAGTATTCCTTCCACCGTCCGACGACATCCCCAGTCGAGGTCAACAGCCGCCCACCCCTACTGTAAACAGCATTGGTAGGGGATTTCCCCTTCCTGAGGCGCCGGACAGTTTGCCAGAATTTCTTCGAGGCCAGCCGATAGTCCTTCTCCATGGCCTCACCGAACTCCTCCCAGGCCCGAGTTTTTGCCTCCACGACCACCCGGGCCGCAGTCCGCTTGGCCTGCCGGTACCTGTCAGCTGCCTCCGGAGTCCCACGAGCCAACCAGGCCCGATACGACTCCTTCTTCAGCTTGACGGCATCCTTTACTTCCGGTGTCCACCACCGGGTTCGAGGATTGCCGCCTCGACAGGCACCGGAGACCTTACGGCCACAGCTCCGAGCAGCCGCTTCGACAATGGAGGTGGAGAACATGGTCCACTCAGACTCAATATCTCCAGCCTCCTTCGGGATCTGGTCGTAGCTCTGCCGGAGGTGAGAGTTGAAGATCTTTCTGACAGGAGATTCGGCCAAACGTTCCCAGCAAACCCTCACAGTACGCTTGGGTCTGCCGAGTCCGTCCAGCCTCCTCCCCCGCCATCGGATCCAACTCACCACCAGGTGGTGATCAGTTGACAGCTCCGCCCCTCTCTTCACCCGAGTGTCCAAGACATACGGCCGCAGGTCAGATGAAACGACCACAAAGTCGATCATCGACCTACGGCCTAGGGTGTCCTGGTGCCACGTGCACTGGTGGACACCCTTATGCTTGAACATGGTGTTCGTTATGGACAAACTGTAACTAGCACAGAAGTCCAATAACTGAACACCACTCGGGTTCAGGTCGGGGGGGCCGTTCCTCCCAATCACGCCCCTCCAGGTGTCACTGTCGTTACCCACGTGAGCGTTGAAGTCCCCCAGTAGAACAACGGAGTCCCCAGTCGGGGCACTTTCCAGCACCCCTCCCAGAGACTCCAAGAAGGCCGGGTACTCTACACTGCCGTTTGGCCCGTAGGCACAAAATGGAAATTTCTCTGAAATAAAAAAATCTGTAAGTACACAACTGCAGGAAATATATCACACTGTGCAAGTGATTTTTGGATATTTATTAAAAAATTCTTACATATTGCACCTGTAACATAATGCATGTGTTTAAATAATGTCATATTGAGTTTGGTGTGCTATATTGGTGCAACTGTGTTTACATGTATTACAATTTTTCATTGTGTGCATGCGCTGTTATATCTGTGTCAACTCCATTTGTCTTAACCTATGATTTTGTGTATGTGTGCGTGTGTGTGTGTGTGAGGGACAATGTTGTTTAATGTGTCACAGAGACACATTTGAAAAAGCTCAATCCAGCACAGATGTGTTCAGTGAATGCATGTAAAAGTGTGTTTAATGTGACAGAAACACTGAAGAGTTGGGATAAAGTCTAAATCCAGCATAGAGGGGTTCAGTAAATGTAGTGTGTAATGTGTGTAAGTGTGTGAGTGTGTGTCTGTCAGAGATGGTGTAGAAGGACAGAGTGCCTGCCGACACATCCAGATACACTCCAACTCTCTTACAGGATCCTGCCGCAGATAAGACAACGGACTTACTATTGTGATAGACAGTGAATCTGTCATCTGAGCATTTCAGACTCCAGGACATCTCATTCAGTCCAAACTGACCGTCAACACTCCATCCTTTTCTATTAATTCCTTTATATGACACGGATATATAAATATTTCTACTCCATTCAGCCTCCCAGTAACAGCGTCCAGTCAGACTCTCTGCACACAGAACTTGAGGATGACCATCAAATCTCTCTTGATGATCAGGATACGACTGCAGCTTATTCACAAACGTCACCTTTCTGTTCTCCTCAGACAAAACGAGACGAGTGTGTGCTGTGTTTGGATCCAATCTGAGATCACAGGCATCTGAACACAAGAAAACACATTAGAAAAGAAACATTTACAACAACAAAACAACAAATACTAAAACTGTGTCTTTGAGAACTTACATTTGAGTAATCTTGAAATCATGATCTCTGCTCTGTGATTTCCACTAGAAACAAGAACAGCAACACACACACAGAGTCTGTTATTTATCCAGTTTTTCATATTTTTCCATTGAAAATTTCAATCCCAAGAAAGGTAGTAAAGACATCATTAAAGCAGGCTATTCCATGTAACTCCAGTTGTTTTATTCTGAATTTTATGAAGGGACACAAATGCTTTGCAAAAAAATATAAACATGCAACAACGTCTGCTCTCACATCAACACAACACGCATGAGTCAGGGTGCTTTCGTGAACACTGGGTTTTTGTCACATGGCTTGAAAGTGATAGATTCAGCATTGATCACACACATGACATTTTGTTATATATTACAATAGAAAATATATATTTTAAATTATAATACAAATATAATTTGTAATATACATATATTTACAATATTACTGCTTTTATTGTATTTTCAACATGACATCATGACTTTTGCGTAAACATACACACAGAGGTGGAAAGAGTACTGAAGTACAAGTACAAGTAGTTGATAAAATAATACTCGATTACAAGCAAAAGTACTGGTGTTAAAAATGTATTTAAGTAAAAGTACAAAGTACCCCTCTCAAAAACTACTCAAGTACTAATTACTAATTACTTTTAGCCTGTGATATTTATTTACTTTTATGGAAACCAAGTTATAAAAATGGTCTAATATGATTATTATTCTTAACGAATTATAATACAAAATAAATAAGCTTATTGGGTTATTTTATTTATAAACTTCTTTTTTTTTTACAATAAAGATTTCCAAAAGTACCCTACTAATATTTCAAAAGTTTCAAAAGTTATCAGCATTTAGCACTGACACAAATGTGCCATCTAGACAGACTGTCAATCAGTGCAGTTACGCTGTTATGCCAGTGGGTCATGGCCGGCAAGATACTGTTTTTATGAAAGAGTCATTATTAAACTCTTCATTCTAAGCTTAAAACACGGATTCAATATTAATAAAACATTGTGTTGACAATGACATACAATATAACTTTTTAATCTAAGTTTACAATGCTAAATCTTTATTACGGTATATGTGCTTGTCACCTGAGTAACGCTGAAGCTCATGTTTCAAGTGATATTTTTAGTCAAATTATCGTGAGGTCTACCCAACTTTAAAAACAAAAACAACTGAACTATCACATATCACTGCAGAAACAAACTTTCTATATAACGCACGCTGTCTCCTTTCCTTCCTCTGTATAAGAACAACTCCAACTCCTCCATGTGGGGTCATGGGCATTCGTCATCTGGTATTTCTTCGGAATTTTCAATGAATTCAGTGTCTTGAATGTCCATGTCCATTCAACAAAGTTCTTTGATAACACTAAAATACAAGCTGAAGGACGTGTGAGGACGAATATAGCTCTCCAGGAACCGGGCTTTTTTCCCGCTCCAAATACAAGGGTTTTTATTGGCCCGCCCACGATCAGTTATTTCCATTGGATACCCAAATGCTGGTCAAAGATTTGAATAATTGTTGAATTCAAATTGTACAAGTACTTTGTAATTAATGGGATTTTTAAAGTAGTGAAGTACATTACTTAACTTAATTTGTACTCAAGTACAAGGAAAATTACAGACTAAAAAATGTACTCATAAAAGTACAAGTACACGAAAAAACTACTTAATTACAGTAATCTGAGTAGTTGTAATTCGTTACTTCCACCTCTGCATACACGCCACTATCGAGTCAAATGGCGTGTTATCTCTACGCATTTTGAGTTATCCAATGTCTACGCCATTAACGGCCGAGTGATTCCGCGTGTCTGTACACGCCGTCAAATGTCCAGTCATAAATACCATTAACCCCAGTGACGGTTAGGTTTAGGGACGGGGTTGAGGTAAGTCATATATTTATATATACAGTAATAACGTTAAGTCAACGCCGTTCATAAACACGCTGAAAAGCGATTATGCGTCTTGATAGCACGCCAAAAATGGAAATACGAATTGGCGTGTCATACACACGCTACTTCATGAGATCAGTCTGGTATTTTAGATAAAATAAAGTCATCAGCCTTGGTTAGCAGAATAGACTACAACCAAAAAAAAAAACCTTTTAAAAATAATAAATCTTATTCTAAACATTTAGCGAGCAGTAGCACAAGTGATTTAAAGAATGGATGTATGTTCTGCCATCTCTCTCTCTCAGTGAAATCATTCTAAAACACGTCAAAAAATGAACTGTAACTACTTGCCACACAAAGATGACTGATTTGTCTTTAGACAGCTTGAAGTGTTTTCGTTTTAAGAATCAAAAATAAATTCATATATTTATATAAAAAAAAATATTCTTAGTTTATGTAATCCAACTAAAGGTACAGTTTCTCACGTCTCTGCTTACTATCCATAATGTGACCGCGCCACGCGCTGCTCAGCACTCACATGCTAATCATTCACGTGTAAGCCATAACCAGTTAACTTTTGTTGAAATCTTATGGGCTAATGCCAGCTTGAACAGCTAGCCAAGTATGCAAATACTGACAGTAACAAGATAAGCTAAGCCAAGAAACAGGGCCAAGCTACACCAGCCACAGAAGAGACAGACAGTCAGCCTATAGCCGTGCCACTAGATGTTATGTATAAAATCACAGGATACATTTTCCCAAAGATCCTGTTCTTTTATTCTTGAATGATTATTATCATCTTTCTCTTACTAAGAAGGACTGGAAATTTTGGCTAGCTGCCGTGACTGATGCAAAGAAGTTATTATTCAATGTTATTAAGAGGAATGTTACTGTATCAGGGTGCAGCTATTGGCTAGGATATACCTCTCTTCACCCATTACACAATCTGTAACAGCTAGTTAGCAGTTGTGCTGCTTGTCCATTTCATACATCAGTAGATAGTTTATGTCACATCATATTATCTTCTTGTACATTTGTTAATTTTAGATCAGCTGTGATATGAAAACACTTTAAGTCACATTTCCTTACAATACATTTCAGTTTGTTGTAAATTCCTGTTAATCTGAAAGCTCCTTCAATCATCATAGAGAAGATGAGCTCCCATACGGGACAAACATATAATTTAAAGCTCAATATCCAAAGAACATTCAGATGGCCGTATATAGCATTCACGATCCTCTCATAGACCCACAGTGAAGAACATTTTACGTTCATATAAAAAAAAAAGTTTTGTTTTTTTGTTTTGTTTTTTTTTTCGACCAAAGACAAATTCTCTCTCACACACAGGAGACAGACTGATAGGTTCTGCTCAACATACTTGAGTTTGTCCAGAGTCCCGGGTCCAGAGTGATTGTAGATCAGGTCCAGCTCTCTCAGGTGTGAAGGGCTTGAACTCAGAGCTGATGCCAGAGCAGCACAACCTTCCTCTGTCACCATACAGCCAGATAACCTACAACAACAGTAAGTGTTCATATTAGAGAGCTTGATTTTTACAGCTAATAAATATACAATACACCAAGGGTGCATTCCATATGGCCCATAGAGTGCAAATGGCCCGTCTGATCATTCCAGTCGTCTCAAAGGCCCAGTAACTGAAAACTAATGGATTTGCAGAATTGCCCACACACAGATGCTGTTAATTATATATCCACTAGAGGTCCTCTTACTGGCAATGGCAAAGGAGTCGCACACCAGAGGAGATGTCACTATTGGCACTTTTCCGCTACACAGTAACAGCTCGACTCGGCTCGGCTCGCCTTTGGTTTTCCACTGTGTAAAAGTTGTACCTGTACCTGCTTTCGGGTTCTTTTTTTTGTATCACCTCCGGCGAGGTTCTGAGCGAGCTAAGGCGAGCTGAGCCGATACTAAAATTCTACGATACATTCTGGTGTCTGTGAACGCACACTCTCTCAGTTTGACTTCGTACAATAGGGTGCCAGATTTCTATAGAGAAAATCCGGCTAAAACACACGTAAACAGGCCTTAATATGTAGCGAAAAAACACCCAATCTGGCAATACAAGACACCAGTGTCACACCACGGCCGCCGTCGACAAAGAAACGAGCGAGGAGGTGTCGTATGATCATTTAAACAGGTTTTATGACGAGGTCGGTGAGGATGGGAAAAATCTTACATTTCTGTCCAAACTGCCCATCGATAAAATAATTGTTGTCTGTGGTTGTATTTGGGCTGTGGTAATAATAATAATTTTTTAAAAAAAAAGCTTGCAACATATGGAAAAAAAGAACTATGAATGAACTAGTTCATTTTTTTGAATTATGAACTATGAACTGAACTAGTTCATTGTAAAATGTGTGAACTGAATTTTGTGAACTTTCCCAACACTGTTTATTGTCTTGTCTGAATGAGTAGACAGAATGATTGCCACACATTGTATTTCTCACGCAGAAAAACTATTTATAACATATCTAATATGCCGCAGCACCCAAATTGTCTCTGGCCGCGCCACTCTCACAGGACAGGAGTCAAGCGCGCGCGTCTCCCCGGCTCTCGAGACTGTCACTTATCAGCCAATCAAAAAAGGAAGGGCTACACAAAGGCTAGCCAATCAGAAAATAGCACTATTGTATCTGGGTAAGATTTAACGCAACATCCAATAAAAAAAAGCATTTCCTGGAATTGTTCACGTGATTCTGCAACAACACCTTTTCCAAAAGTTTCGCGTTCACCCGCAGAGGAAAAAACGACTGGAGCTCAGAGTATCACTTTGAGAAGAGTAAGTCATGATCTCCTGTTTTAACGTTACAACAAATTTACAAATTGTTTGACACTAGGGGTGGGACGATACAGGTACCTCACGATCCAATTATGTGGCGATATGTGGTCCACGATATGATAATATCACGATTCGCGATATCTACGATATTCAATATAATGGAAGAAATTTCATCAACGATATATCACGATATATGTGACTGAAAAGAAAAAGAAGGTAAAAGGAAATAAGGAAATTTTATGCATTTATTAATGCCAACATTTCCAACATTGTGCAAAGAAATATGCATTTGGCTTTCCGTCGACTGTCTCGTAAAACCCGAAGTGTCTTAGGGCCCTATGAAATCCGTTTTATTTTTTCCCAAATTCCGTTTTTTCAGTTTTAAGTTTTGGGAATTAGGTTTTTTTTTACTCTTGGCTGTTGTTTTAGTCGTAAAAATAGTGTGCTTTTTAAAGTTAATGATTAAAATGTATTAAAAAATACAAATAAATTAGGAATGACCTTAAATTTATTAAGGTAATATAGACATTTACTCAGTAGCCTTTTCAGGACAAATACTGCTTGATGCAACATAACACTGCACTCTTCAAGACAAGTAACAATAAAATATGGTTATGAGCTTTAAACTGTCCAGTAATATAAATTATATTAGTTTATATAAGTTTAAATAAAGTCACACTCTGTCTCTCTCTTGCCCAGTGTCGCTCACGGAGTTCGCTTCGCTTTTGTCCAGTCTCTCTCTCTCTCTCTCTCTCTCTCTCTCTCTATCTATCTCTCTTTGTTTCTCTCTGAAATTGAATAAATATGTTGTATTTGGTTGAATTGTCAGTCCCATGTGTCAAATATGTTCTGCAAGTCACTTCAGAACACCTCCAGGACCCAGAAAACACCTCAGACCCAAGAGGGTTAATGTACAGTTGAGTTCATGTGTTTACCTTGCAGAATTTGTGAAAAAGATTTTGTACTGCCCTGATTAAGCTGATTATAAGCAGATATGTGCCTGTTTTCCACAAGACAAAATAATATCTTGATTTTCCTGATCCTGTTTAAAAGTGCATACTCATAGGTCTTTACATAGTTATTTTTTCTCCTGAGTATCAGTGACTGTTTGCAGCCTCTTGTGAGCTGTCCATGAGTCTGTGGCTATGTTTAGTGCTTATTGACATTGCTATGTGATCATCGTGATCTGATTTAGAAGAAGAGATCATCAACCAATCAGAACCTGTTTACATTTCTGCATCAACATCTTGGGATTCTTTAAAACAACAACAACAACAACAAAAAAAAAAAAAATCTTCAATCCCGGGGCTTAGCGTTTTAGGTATTTTTCTGGTAACAAGCAGGTCAGAGCTCAATCACAATGTGTTTAGACATTTCTATTCAGTGTTCTGATACACAATTCATCTCTATGAAAAAGATATTTCTTAAAATTATTATTTAACATTTATTACATGCAACATTTATATTATCCATGAATATTTTACAAAGAACAGTAAAATACCCCACTAAATACCTCAGTATGTTGAGTTGACAGTTTGGAGTCTGGAGTGCATCAAATAGCAGCTTCACTCCTGAATCCTGCAGTTTATTGTCACTCAGATCCAGATCTCTGAGGAGGGAGTTTGATGATTGCAGAGCTGAAGCCACAATTCCACAGCACTGATCAGTGAGATTACAGCCAGACAATCTAAATACAGTAAAAATAAAGAATTACAAAAACTCTATATAGATAGAAACTGATGTTTGAGAGCACTGTGTGCATGTTTCTGAAAAGGTGTCTGCATAGACCATGAATGTAAATAATCACATCACAAGTTATCTGAAAGTAACAATGACAACATAGAGTAACTGTAGATAAATAATTCCTCAATGGGCACATTATCATCAAAGTTTTTCCATACTATTTTCTTGCAATAGCTCTTGACTATAAAATATTTATGAATCCGAGTAAGCAATTACAGGTGGAAGAAAACTTGGACTATTCACTGTACATACAAAAACACATGAAATAATCTTCTAGCTGTATTGATAACACTGGAATACATGGTACATTTATTTACAGAGAATATACATTATTGTTATTTTTTTAAACAATGTGCAAGTCAAACCTCAGAATGTTGAGTTGACAGTTTGGACTCTTCAGTCCAACACAGAGCAGCTTCAGTCCTAAATCACTTAGGTCATTGTTACTCAAGTCCAGCTCTCTCAGGGGGGAGTTTGATGATTGTAGAGCTGAAGCCACAATTTCACAGTGCTGATAGGTGAGATTACAGCCAGCCAGTCTAATACGGGAAAAATAAATAATTACAGACTTTATAGATAGACATTGATGTTAGAGAGCACGGTGAGCATTTTCTTATGTTTCTGATAAGGTGTCTGCATATAACATGAATGTGGATATTTACATCAACAATTATTTAAAAGTAATGCAGATAACATCGTATATAGAGAAACTGAAGATAAATAATTAATCAATGGCCACATTATCATCATGTATTTTTCATACTTTTGTCTTGCAATAGCTCTTGACTACAAAGATTGATTAATCCGATACAGCAATTACAGGTGGAAGACAACTTGCACTGTATATACTCTTCATATAAAAACACATGAAAAAATCTTCTATATTCTCTGGAATATATAGAGTACATTAATTAAAAGAGTCCATCACATATTGTTGTTGTTAAAAAAAATCAACTTGTAAGTCAAACCTCAGTATGTTGAGTTGACAGTTTGGACTCTTTAGTCCAACAAAGAGCAGCTTCAGTCCTGAATCATGTAGGTCATTATTACTCAAGTCCAGCTCTCTCAGGGGGGAGTTTGATGACTGTAAAGCTGAAGCCACAATTTCACAGTGCTGATCGGTGAGTATGCAGTCTGCCAATCTGAAAACAGAGAGGACTTTGGTTAAAAGGCATGTAGGTTAGCAGGTGTCTCCAAAAGATTGCAAGACTTAAGACTTCCCTGTCTAGCTGAACTTTTATAAAACAAAATTAGGTTGAAATGGCAGTATGCTTGTAAGCACAGTTTATAAAAAATAATTAAATTTAAAATTAAATTAAAAAATAAATAAAATTTAAAAAAATGAACGTAAAGAATTGAGAGAACATTGGATGCGTGTCAGATCTACATCATGTAGATTTTGGGTGCGTTTTCCGTACAACTATGTAGTTCGCTGCTTCACTACCATAGTACAATGCATCGTTGGAGAAATTAACTAGCTAGTCACGATTGTTTCCCGAAACCCATTGTCGCAAAGTATCGTTCAACCACGTTGGTTTCGCATGTGGTGGAGTAATAACTACTTTTAATGAAACTGTTTGAGATCCAATTAACACTAGATTTTTATATATAAATTAGAGACATGTCATCTGAGGACTATTTCTAATTGTTCTCAGTTATTTTGCTTTATTACCAGACTTAATATTTGGCTTGTTCATACATAGTAGAGCACGTTCGCACATGCGCACTCTTCAAAATCGGTACTTTAAATCGTTTGAAAAACGAAAATACGTAAATTCCATTTGTATGTAGTCTAAATAAAAGGCACCGGTTGTACTGAATGTGAGCTTGCTTATTTTGCATCAAGATAAGGATTTATTGAGTCCAAATGTGATGCAATATAGAAACTATGCCTCTAACCACAGGCAGAGAGCTGTCGTTCAAACCACACAACTTTGCGATGCTGTTTGCGAATGTTAATTGGAACGATTGTTTCGGGAAACACCGACTCGATGAACTATGCTGATAACGATGGAACTTGCGACATAGTTGACTAACGATGCTTTCGGGAAACGCACCCCAGGTCTTTAAATGACAACAGTCTAATATACCTGCTGCAGTCTGTACTATTAATGTTAGTTAAAGAACTAAGTCTCTAGTTTTCAATAAATTATTGTTGTTGTTGTTTTAATACATTTTTTAAAAATGCATTACATTATTGACATTAACAACTGTCCTAGAATTTGGCTAGTTTAATTGGAAGCTTCACTGGTTAGGTTTACAAATCCTAAAAATAGTTTATATAACAAATAGTGTTCATTTGGTAGAGAATGAATACAATACTTAATGGCAATAATGTATATTAATTTGGTACAAAATGAATACAATACCTAACTGCAATAATTTATATTTTATGTGTGAACACAAATGTAAAATGTCAAATGTAACTACTGTATTTTCATATTTTCACTTACAGAGCTTTTTTGCAGTTCCTCACAGCAGGTAACAGTCTCCATTTACCCTCTTTTGATGTGAATTTGTACTTTTTAGGGTCAAGCTCATCCATCACCTCCTCTGACATCAGGATCATGTTTGCCAAAGTAGAACATTTTGCAAGAGAAATACTTTTGCTTTTCATTGTATTTTTAAAAAAACTCTGCATTTCTTTAACAAGAGAATATTCCTTCATCTCAATCAAGCAGTGTGACAGATTCATCAATCTTTCAGGACTCATATTGTTTTTTTGACCTTGCTTGAGGCTTTTGATTATCTTCTCTTTGCTCTCTGGGTTGTTCTCTGTGTGAATCAGCACATCCTGTAAAAGTCTCTGATTGGACTCCAGTGAGATGCCATGAAGAAATCGAAGTAAAAGATCCAGGTGTCCATTTTTACTCTTCAAGGCTTTATTCATTACTCCCTTCAGAAACTCATCCAGAGGAACATTTTCACACCGAGTTCTGGACTTTCCTGTGAGGAACTCTTTCATAACTTCACTCTTCTTGTGTAAATAACAGAAAAACACATACAGTGCTGCAAAAAACTCCTGAAAGCTGAGATGTACAAAGCTGTAAACCTTCCTCTGACAAATCACAGATTCCTCTCTAAAGATCTCAGTGCAAATCCCAGAATACACTGAGGCGTCAGTGACGTCTATGCCGCTCTCAATCAGGTCCTCCTCATAGAACATCACATTGCCCTTCATCAGCTGATTGAAAGCCAGTTCAGCAAGTTTCACAATCATATCTCTGTTGGACTGCAGGAGTTTCTCTGGATCTCTCTCTTCATACTTCTGGTTCCTCATATGAGTCTGAATGAGGAGGAAGTGTATGTACATTTCAGTCAGAGTTTGAGGGATTTCTACTCGACGATTTTGTTTCAGGATGTTTTGAAGCACAGTGGCTGAGATCCAGCAGAAGACGGGTATGTGACACATGATGTGGAGGGTTTTTGCTTTTCTGATGTGTGAGATGATTCTACTGGCTTTACGCTTGTCGCGGATTCTCTTCTTGAAATATTCCTCCTTCTGAGGGTCATTGAATCCCTGAATTTCTGTCACACGGTTGATGTATTTGGAGGGGATCTGATTGGCTGCTGCTGGTCTGGTGGTGATCCAGATGAGAGATGAGGGAAGCAGATCTCCTTTCATGAGGTTTGACATCAACACACCCACAGATGAAGACTCAGTCACATCAGAAACATTCTCACTGTCTGAAAACTTAAGTGTCAATCTGCTTTCATCAAGACCATCAAAGATTAACACAACTCTACATTCATCATACATCTCTGAGTCCAGATCTCGAAGTTCAGGATGAAAGTCCAGCAGAAGTCTGTGAAGACTGTACTGATGATCTTTAATCAAGTTCAGCTCTCTAAATGGAAGCACAAACATGAAATCTACATCCTGATTGGCTTTTCCCTCGGCCCAGTCCAGAATGAACTTCTGCACAGAGACGGTTTTCCCGATTCCAGCGATGCCTTTAGTAAGAACAGTCTTGATTTTGTCTTTCTTCTCTCTTCTCTTCTCCTCATATCCTGGTTCAGGTGAAGGATCAAATATTTCACTGCATTTGATTGGAGTGTCTTGGAGGGTCTTGTAAATTTTCTCCATCTGTAGCACCTCATGTTCTTCATTCACTCCTTCACTCTCTCCCTCTATGATGTACAGCTGTGTGTAAATCCTGTTCAGGAGAGTCTGATTCTCTTGTTGTTTGATTCCCTCAAAAACCCTTTCATATCTGTTCTTCATGCTGGTTTTGTGCTGGTCTTTGACTCTCTGAAGATCATCATGCACTGGCTGGTGAGAATCGAGCTGCAGGGCTGCTTCTGTGTCATGATGACTAATGTGTTTCTGACAGGAGGAGGATGTGCTGGACTGACAGGACACATATCTGATCCGGTCAGCTCTCCCACCACTGAAAAGACATAAAGATGACCAGAGATATAGATTAGGAAGGATAGATTTTTTATAAAATTAAAGAAAATATTTTAAATGCCTTATTGTAAAACATCTTATTTAGTTCTTATTTGAAAACATACAACATGAAGAAAGAGGATCATTTAAGAGTATAACTTTTGTGCCTAATTTATGGTAACACTTTATTTTGATGGTACCCTTTAGACATTCTGTTGACTGTAAGTAAAAATTGTCTTCTGAGACTTGCAAGAGGTTTTTTCAATTATTTGCGGATAAGGTATTAATTATTAGACCACTCTTTAGACCTCCTTCTGCAGATCCTTCTGTCCTGGCCACTTGCTCGGCTGTTTTTAACCGGTTTGAGCCTGTGTCTCCTTTTTTTGTAGGATGTTATTAACCAGATGAAACCCTCTACCTGTCCCACAGATGTAGTTTGGATGTAATAAAGGAGATTTTTGACACCATTGGGCCTGTAGTTCAAGAAATTATTAATAGTAGTTTGACCATAGGTGTTGTTTCACTAGATTTTTAACATGCCTTGGTTCAACCTCTGATATGTATAGAGATTGGTAATATATAGAAAGAGGGGTTTAGAGATTGGTCTATAATTAGATAGAACCATGGTGTTCAGGTTTGATATACATCAAACCTGGACACCACGGTTCTATCTAATTATAGACCAATCTCTAAACTCCTCTTTCTTTCGCAAATATCACAGAAAATAGTTTGTTTACAGTTGCAAACTTTTTTTATACACACACACTTAGTCTTAGAAGTATATCAGTCAGGTTTTAACCCCTTGACCCCTTGGCAAGTCCCGAAATTAATTGGTTAATTTCTACACATGCAAATATTTTTTATAGGTTATTAAAATAAAGTAAATAACATTAGTATCAATAACTAACATTAACTGACATTAATAATGGGCAATAGCCTATATATATATATATATATATATATTATACCCCCACTCTCTGACCCCATGAAGACCGCTGTGTAATTCACATCCTGATGTGTCCTAAGACACATTGGGGAAGCATTTAAATAATCCTATGAATGCATTTAAATAATGCAGAATCGAATTGAATTAATCGAAGCACATCAAATTTTAATTTGAATCGTCTCGAATCGAATCATTCTTAAATTGAACACCAATGAGTCAAATTGATTCACAGTCTATTCACAGCCCTATCATTTTATAATTCGATTTAGAATTAATGCAAAAACTGCCTTATAAAAACTGCAGTTTACATACAATGTGTTATTTAAGTTTTGATTTTTATATCTAAAAATAAATAGCAATTGAATTTAGGCTAATAGTTTGGGCTCAGTTGTTAACCTTTGATATTATAGTAATGTGCAAGTAAGGGATCCCTATATAGTTTACAGCATTAGCAGAAATGTTTATTTTATCCTTAAGAAACTTTTAGTTGAAATTAAATTAATGACAGACACTGTTTTTTTGTAATATTTCTGTACATTCTTGTTTTTTTTTCTGTGTTAAATGTCCCATCCAACATGATTACACTCAGAGAGGGTCAAAGGGCACTTCTCAATTTCTGAATTCAGGGGACTGAAATACAGATACTCACACAGGGTCAGAAGTCACAGCAGGTCCATCACAGAGATTAGGAGGCAGACCAATGGAGTTGTTACTCTTCATAGACACACAGCTAGATATTGGAGATGCTGCTTTCTTTCTCTTCTTGCTGATAATTTTGAGAAAAAGAAATTAATATTTCTTATTGCTTCTTTAAAGTGTATCTGTCTTCTACATTGAATGAACACCTGTAAACAACAACTACAGAGCCCCTAAACAAAGGTGCATGCTGGTGGAAAAATTTGGAAGTGGAGAAAAACATTTTTCAAATCTTTTGCATTCCCTCAAGAAACTTTTGCGTTGACAGTCACTGCGTACAAATGATTATATTTCAACAACGAATTCGGAGTAAAAACTATTTTATATGGGTGTAATGCAGAACTTTCAACCCTCCCCTTTTTCTCAGGATTCTCCTGTATTTTACCTTGCTATCCCGCTATCATCCCGTTTAAATATTTTCCCGTATTTTTCATCTTTCTATTACAAAAAAATAAATTATTAAAAAAAACGTATCTTAAGTATCTTAACAAATGGGAGAGGGGGGAGGCTTACCCGTATATCACAAAGAGAAACATCGGGCAAAGTCATGCGTTTTGTAAACTTGCTTGAATTTTCAAGTGCAAAAACGTGTCCAGCCAATGACTGCATCTGTAACTACAAACGTTTCTGAGGCTGATCAAGTGACCAAAGCTGAGGTGAATGTCATGGTTCTGCCATCATGTCTTAGATATTTCCTGGTCTTGTGGCAGGATCATGGCAGACCCATGTTTTATGTACAAGTGCATGGTCTGTTGTTATGGCCATGTGCTTGTGTTGTCTCGTTTCGTTATCCCCGCCCCCTTGTTATCCCCATCTTGTCATTATTGTCTAGTCCATCGGTTCCCAACAGGGGGGTCGCGGCCCACAAGGGGGCCTCAGCGAGGTCTGTGGGGGGTCGCGGCATATTTTGAAGGTTTGAGCAATGAGCATTAAATAAAAGTCCTTAACTTTTTTCTGTTCAAAATTTACAAAATCTATATAATGAGTGAGTTCATCATGAATCCATTTTCCAATCCGTGTTTTTGTCTTATCCTGAACCACTATGGTACACCTATAATAAGTGTTTACATCGGGACTATTTTACACTGGTTCGGATCGCTGCCGCTGCGGAGTACTACAGTACCTGCGTGTCTCGTCATAGACGTACACAGAGAGAAGTAGTTTCCGGCTACACTGTTCTTTCCGAAAGACGCATTATTCTGTTACTAAATGCGAGTTTATTATCGCTCGCTATAGCGCCAAAAGTGTAAAAATAAAGCCTCACATTGATAAAGCCTCACAGATAACATGCAAGTATTGAGGCCCCAGATAACAGTAATTTAATAGCAGATGTTCTTCTTTTTTTTTTTACCTAAACACCAGTGTGAATATTTTTATTTTTGCATTTCAAATATGGCCAATTAATAGGTTTCTCCTAGGCTTACGTTGTTAAATTACAAAGGGCCTACTGATGTTTTAGTCATTGTATTTTCAATATTATAGGCTATTATTTGTGCATAAACATACCGTTTGTTTGAAAAAAAACAACAACATTTTTTTTTTATCCTTGCTGCAAGCTTACAAGAGCGATAATATCATTAAATGTGAAGGGGGGTCTTGGGAAAAAGGGGGTCACAGTAGGGTTGGGAATCGTGAGAAATTTTCCGGTTCCGGTTCCGATTCCGGTTCCGCCAAACGATTCCGGTTCCGGTTCCCATTCATTTAAAAATTAGGTATGCTTTTCAATCACTTTCGCGGTATTTGATGTCATTACCGATCGCTCTGTGTTTATTTGAGAGTATTAGCGAAATAATACTCGAAAGATAACTTAGTCCAGCAACAGGCACTGTTAGACAAGCTTTTAGTGCATGTGCGCATTGGGTGTTCGCGCTCAGAACAGCGTATCATACGGTGGCCGAGAGGTGCAAAACAAATTACAATTATGAAAACAAAAAAACAAGTAAGAAAACACAACGACAATTCAGAAAACAAAATAACAATTCAGAAAACACAACAACAAATCTGAAAACAAATTAACAAATCAGAAAACACAAAAACAAATCTGAAAACAAATTAACAAGTCAGAAAACACAACGACAAATCTGAAAACAGATTAACAAGTCAGAAAACACAACGACAAGTCAGACAAAATGGAAAAGGTAGGTATATGTGGCGAATGGAATACTGATCGCTGATTGGATGAGACATCTGTCAATCAAGACATACAGAAAGTACAGCAGACTGCGCCTGCGGCAGAACAATGTGTAAAACGCGAAACGCTCCTCAATAGATGTCGCAACGCTGTTTAATAATAGTGTCCGGGACCGGAGTAAACGCAACTCCTTTAAGCTTGCGTTCGGTTATCCACTGGACCGTGCTGCCTAGTTCAAAGTAAACTAGTGAAACAACTGAAACCAGCGCTATTTTGTTCTCTATTTGTTCTTAACTGACCGAGAAACCGCTTCAGATGATCCAGTGACAGAACGGTCCGAACGAATCCGAATCGTTTCCTACTGTTATGCACGCGCGTTTGGCCAATTCGTGAAAAGGAGATAGGAATCGAACCAACGAATGATTAATATCGCTGGTTCAGTCGACAGAAATACGGGACACACATATTAACTGCTGAAATATTCGGACTGAAAACGTTTTTCTCAGGTCAGTCGGAGCGCTCGTGGTACACACACAGTGCGTATACAGCTGCACGCGCCACTGTGGCCACGCGCATATCAAACCAAATTTAGCCGCACCACCAGAAAATAAGGAGGGGGAGGTTGGAGTGCTTTCGGGCCGCATGGAGATGATTGGCGGGCCGCACTTGGCCCGCGGGCCGCCAATTGAATAGCCCTAGCCAAGACGATACAGCTAATATTTACACAAGGGCTCAATTTCTGAATTCAGTGGACTGAAATACAGATACTCACACAGGGTCAGAGGTCACAGCAGGTCCATCACTGAGATTAGGCGGCAGACCAATGGAGTTGTTACTCTTCATAGACACACAGCTAGAAATCGAAGATGCTGCTTTCTTTCTCTTCTTGCTGATGATACAGAGAAAAATAAATTAATATTTCATATTGCTTCTTTAAAGTTGATCTGTCTTCTACATTAAATCAACACCTGTAAACAACAACTACAGAGCCCCTAAACAAAGGTGCATGCTGGTGGAAAAATTTGGGAGTGGAGAAAAACATTTTTCAAATCTTTTGCGTTCCCTCGAGAAATTTTTGCGTTGACAGTCACTGCGTACAAATGATTATATTTCAACAACGAATTCGGAGTAAAAACTATTTTATACGGGTGTAATGCAGAACTTTCAACCCTCCCCTTTTTCTCAGGATTCTCCTGTATTTTACCTTGCTATCCCGCTATCATCCCGTTTAAATATTTTCCCGTATTTTTCATCTTTCTATTACAAAAAAAATAAATTATTAAAAAAAACGTATCTTAAGTATCTTAACAAATGGGAGAGGGGGGAGGCTTACCCGTATATCACAAAGAGAAACATCGGGCAAAGTCATGCGTTTTGTAAACTTGCTTGAATTTTCAAGTGCAAAATCGTGCCCAGCCAATAGGGCTGGGTATCGACTCACATTTCAATTTCGATTCGATTTCGATTCGCAAGCTCTCAGTTCGATTCGATTTCGATTCTCGATTCGATTTTCGATTCTCGATTCCTGATTTGATTCTCGATTCAACTATAATGAAGATGTAATAAAAATCCTATATTTATAATTTATAAAAAAGAACAGTGGACATAAGTTTACTAGTGGTTAATTAATACAAGAAAATTAAGAGCCATAAACCTATATATAAAACACTTTTTATTTTAGGTACACTAAATGCATACAAAGATTTTGATGCAATATGCAAAAAAGAGTCGCACAGTCGCACAGAACAGTCGCACAGCTTGATCAAACAGTATCATGTTATTTTATGTTTAAGATAGATAAATATATAAATATTTAGACATTTTTTACATTGATCTTACCTAAATGTTAATGTATTTTTTTGTTATGAGTTTATGTATGGATGCTTGATTTCAATCTTTGAATTAAATTGAAAAAAGTAGCACAAATAAATACAATAGAATAAAGACAAAAATTAAGAGACATTTTGGGGTAGTTTTTTGGGTATGTCAGAAATACTACAGAAACTGAATAAAGTAATCCAATGTAAAATAACACTGGATAGTCTTTTTAGTCCAGACTGAATTAAATACAAAGGCTATTAATTCTGATTGCTTACAATTAATACTATATTCTGTTGTTATGACAACAGAATTAATGACTGACACAAATGGCTGCGTTCACTTTAAGAACTAGTGTGCGAATCCATTACTGTTTCATTAACTTTCTGTCACACGCGTTTAATGCTAATTTAAGACATTACCGACTGTCTTTACGAGGTTACTCACCAAGACCAGAGTTTTGACATAATGTTGCGTGTTTTAACTGTTAAAGCGATATAATCCAGGGATAAAACTTTTGTTTCTGGCGAGCTGTTTGTGAGGCGGATTTAGGCTGTGCACGCAGTGAAAGACATCTCTGAGAGTGCGCGAGCACGGGATGGTTTAACATTGCTTGAGCAAATAAATGATAAATGTTAGTTACGATCATAGGTCACAATGCAATGCTGGCCCGATTGTGCAAGTGAATATTCCGTCGTGTCCCGACTCCTAAACGCGTGTGTGTATCGACAGCTGCAGCGCTTAGCGCTTGCCTAGTGCAGAGAGACGAGAAGATGCAGCACCGCGTCCGCGAGCCCTTTATATGGAAAAAAATCGATTCGTGGCCGTTGAGAATCGATTTTGAATCGACCACATTTTAAAAAACGATTAATCGAAAAATCGATTTTTTTGCCCAGCCCTACCAGCCAATGACTGCATCTGTAACTACAAACGTTTCTGAGGCTGATCAAGTGACCAAAGCTGAGGTGAATGTCATGGTTCTGCCATCATGTCTTAGATTTTTCCTGGTCTTGTGGCAGGATCATGGCAGACCCATGTTTTATGTACAAGTGCATGGTCTGTTGTTTGGGCCACACTTGTGTTGTCTCGTTCCGTTATCCCCGCCCCCTTGTTATCCCCGTCTTGTCATTATTGTCTAGTCAGTTTCACCTGTCCTTGTCATTAGTGTTCCCTTTATAATCTCCTTGTGTTTGCTGTCCTGTGTCGGTTCATTGTTTGACGTTGTGTGATTCTAGCAGTGAGTAATTCATTGAGAAAACTATTATTCAAGAATCTGCTCGTGTCTTAGTATTGTTCCTGTCTTTATCTCAGTCTTAGTCTAGTGTTTGCTTTCCTGTCTTGTTTTGCCCCATCGTGGGTTTTGTTTTTCTGTTTTTCATTGTCAATAAACCTAGTTGAGTGTTACATACTGCTATTGGGTCCATCCTTCTACAACATGACAGAATGAACCGACCAAAAAGGAACCCAGCAGTTTGTCCTTTCCTGCCAAGCTTCAACCTGATCCCTTTGAACAATGGTGGCTCTCGACTACCTCTGACGTGAGGAATGGCAAGGCGCCGTTTTCCCCCCAGGGTGAGAGGTCGTTGAGAGAGTATGCCAAGGCCGTGGAGGAGAGGAGGATTTTCTTACCAGAGATCCTCCTCAACTCATACTTCATCGCGGGTCTCAATGGTCCTCCTCCTTTGTCTGTACGGGAGGGGCTTATCCGCCGTCTGTTTCAGGAGGTGGTGGACTGTGTGTCTCGGGAGGAGTCAAAGGTGGCATCCACGGGGTCTTCACCTTCTGCCTGGCTGCCAGCTATTCCCGAAGGTCGAATATTGCCTATTGTCATTGCTGTTGAGACTCTAGCAGACTATCTCTCTACCCTTATCAGGATCCTTGAAGTCCCTGTTAATCCTGTTATGTCTTGTCCTGAGCCCACTGCTGTCCCTGTGTATGTTAGTCCTGAGCCCACTGGTGTCCCTGTGTATGTTAGTCCTGAGCCCACTGCTGTCCCTGTGGGTGCTGGTTCTGAGCCCCCTACTGTCCCTGTGTGTGCTGGTCCTGAGCCCACTGGTGTCCTTGTGTGTGCTGGTCCTGAGCCCACTGCTGTCCTTCTGTGTGCTGGTTCTGAGCCCACTGCTGTCCCTGTGTGTGCTGGTCCTGAGCCCACTGCTGTCCCTGTGTGTGCTGGTCCTGAGCCCACTGCTGTCCCTGTGTGTGCTGGTCCTGAGCCCACTGCTGTCCCTGTGTGTGCTGGTCCTGAGCCCACTGCTGTCCCTGTGTGTGCTGGTCCTGAGCCCACTGCTGTCCCTTTGTGTGCTGGTCCTGAGCCCACTGTTGTCCCTGTGTGTTCTGGTCCTGAGCCCACTGCTGTCCCTGTGTGTGCTGGTCCTGAGCCCACTGCTGTCCCTGTGTGTGCTGGTCCTGAGCCCACTGTTGTCCCTGTGTGTGCTGGTCCTGAGCCCACTGCTGTCCCTGTGTGTGCTGGTTCTGAGCCCACTGCTGTCCCTGTGTGTGCTGGTTTGGAGCCCACTGCTGTCCTTGTGTGTGCTGGTCCTGAGCCCACTGCTGTCCCTGTGTGTGCTGGTCCTGAGCCCACTGCTGTCCCTGTGTGTGCTGGTTCTGAGCCCACTGCTGTCCCTGTGTGTGCTGGTTCTGAGCCCACTGGTGTCCTTGTGTGTGCTGGTCCTGAGCCCACTGCCGTCCCTGTGTGTGCTGGTCCTGAGCCCACTGCTGTCCCTGTGGGTGCTGGTCCTGAGCCTCCAGCTGTCCCTGTGTGTGCTGGTCCTGAGCCCACTGCTGTCCCTGTGGGTGCTGGTCCTGAGCCTGTCCCTGTACGTGCTGCACCCGAGTCTGTCCCAGTGTGTGCAGCACTCGAGCCTGTCAAACCCCATGCCTCCACTGTTCCCAGACTTCCATTTGTTTCCCCTGTCATGGCTCAACCCAGGAGTGTTTCCCCGATTGTCCCTGTCTCCAGAAGACCCCAGACTTCTAAGTCTTCACCTCGTGTGTCTCCGTCCAAGTCTGCCCGGATTCCTCGCCCTCAGCCATCGTCCCGTAAACCCAAGATCCCCAGCCCACCTACCAACCCTGAACTGCCCCCTAAGGAATTTGTGTTTCCTCCACCACCTCTGCCTTGTATGTTGTTTTTGATGTTTCATCCCAACCCTGTCGTAGTTTTTTAATGTATGCCATTATTAGTGTTTTCCATGTTTTGTTGGTTTTTATCTAGGTCACGGTCTGTCTTGTCTTGTGTTTAACTTCTCCTAGCCGCTCCTTAAGGTGGTGGTTCTGTCATGATTCTGCCATCATGTCTTAGATTTTTCCTGGTCTTGTGGCAGGATCATGGCAGACCCATGTTTTATGTACAAGTGCATGATCTGTTGTTTGGGTCATGTGCTTGTGTTGTTTCGTTATCCCCGCCGCCTTGTTTTCCGAATCTGTCATAATTGTCTAGTCAGTTTCACTTGTCCTCGTCATTAGTGTTGCCTTTATAATCTCCTTGTGTTTGCTGTCCTGTGTCGGTTCATTGTTTGACGTTGTGTGATTCTAGCAGTGAGTAATTCATTGAGAAAACTGTTATTCAAGAGTCTGCTCGTGTCTTAGTATTGTTCCTGTCTTTATCTCAGTCTTAGTCTAGTGTTTGCTTTCCTGTCTTGTTTTGCCCCATTGTGGGTTTTGTTTTTCTGTTTTGTCATTGTAAATAAACCTAGTTGGGTGTCACATTCTGTCTGTTATAGGGTCCATCCTTCTACCACATGACAGTGAAAATGTCAATGCTTTGTGCCAAAAATAATGTGGCTTTAAGTTTTTTGCAATGTCTCAACTGTAGTGTTGCAGACATATTCCCTGACTCTGCCATCGCTCAGAAGTACTCTGTGGGAAAAACGAAAGCCACTCAACTCATCAGAGGTAAGATATAGACTTCAAAAATGTGTTGCTTCAAAATGAATTGAATCTAATTGAATCCTTGATAATGATGTTCCCATGGTGTAGCCTAAAGTAACACTTTTACTTAAAGGTGCTCTAAGCGATTTCGGGTGACGTGACTTCTTGTTGACGTTTTCAAACAAAACGCAGGCTAGATAGACCCTCCCTCCTCCTCATCCGCGCACTAACCCCCAAAACCCCACCCCCAGGGCCTTCTTGTCAGTTATTGGCTGGAACAGTTTGTTATGTTTTGTGGAGCGGGTTGCCGCAGTTTGTTTTTGTTGCCATTTGTGGAGTCTGGTTTGTCTGCATAGACCTCTTTTTTTACAGTGTGTTTAGGGGACAGGCAGCTAGCGGATAGTGAGGAGATGTTTGCTGTATGTGACAAAATGTTTTGGCCTAAAAAACATCGCTTAGAGCAGGTGCCATAGCAGTAGAACTTGATCAGGACGTAGCAAGGTTATGTATATCTCAGCCTTTTTCATTGTTGCGCGATGAATCAAACAACAGAAAAACTGACAAAGAATTTGGCATCCTTGCAAGAATTTATGATGAGCCCAAACTGGAGGTGACAACAAAGTTCCCTGAAATGCCCATATGCAAGTTGGGCAATGCAGAAAACCTATATGTAACGCTGTCCGAAGTATTGAGGTGAGGGAATTGAAATTGAATTTGTCATTAAAGAGTTATAATGGCTTCATGACAGCCAATGTCAAAACCAACCACCTGACAGTTTAATGTAATGTTAACCAATAAAGCTAAGTGGTTTCTTAAGTTTGATAATTAATCTGCTATGTCATGTTTATGACAGGTTGTGTTGTTTTAGTAATGTCAAGTTGTCACGACAAAGACACTGACAGGTTATGATGTATTGTTTTATGTCAAGGTGTCAACAAAGACATCTCAAACAATGTCATATTTGCATTACAAATGTCATATCTGAGCGAATGGCACTCAATGACAGTTGTCACAAACATGCATAAAACTTCCTTCATATTCATAACATATGTCATGTCATGATTATGAAGGTGTCATGTTAATCTTATGCACACCCCTTCAAGTAAAGTGTTACCCACACATCTATATCTAATAATTTAACCATAAGAAATCTGAGACCAATTACTAAACTCAAAATCATTGTCTCATTTCAGTGCAGAGTGATGTGAGCTCTACAAGGAGTTTGTAGAGTTCACAGACTCTGAAAACCTGAAGCTGCTGAGCTACTGCAGTACCAGATGGCTCAGTCTGCTTGCATGCATTCAGAGAGTACTGAACCAGTGGGATGCTCGACAGGTAGGATTGTAATGGTAAACTCTCAGCAGATATCTTGTAAATGTTTCCATTGCATTTTTTTTTTCATGACTTAGACACATTGGGGGAAGCATTTAAATAATGCAGAATCAAATTGAATTAATCAAATCACATCGAATTTTAATGTGAATAGTCTCGAATCAAATCGTTTTGAATTTGTGAAAATCGTTCTTGAATCAAATCAATTTGCTGTCTAGTTTGATAATTAATCTGCTATGTCATGTTTATGTTTGTCATGTTTATGAGTACTGAACCAGTGGGATGCTCGACAGGTAGGATTGTAATGGTAAACTCTCAGCAGATATCTTGTAAATGTTTCGTTGCATTTTTTTTCATGACTAAGACACATTGGGGGAAGCATTTAAATAATGCTGAATCGAATTGAATTAATCGAAGCGCATACAATTTTAAAGTGAATCGCCTTGAATCGAATCGTTCTTGAATCAAAAACCTGTAAATCAAATCGATTCACTGTCTATTCACAGCCCTATAATTTTATAATTCGATTTAGAAGTTACTGAAAAAACTGCCTTATAAAAACAACAAGATCCAGGTGGTGGTCCCGCCGGACGCCTGTACGTTCCCCTATCTGTTCGGGCCCAAGTCTTGCAGTGGGGTCATGAGTCGCTCTTGACATGCCATCCAGGAAGTGCTCGCACACTGGAGTTCCTCCAGCGGAGGTTTTGGTGGCCGTCCATCAAGAAAGACATTCAGGTCTATTTGGAGGCCGGCAATCAGGGAAAGTCTACACGTCAGCGACGCCAGGGTCTGCTTCATCCTTTACCTGTTCCGCAAAGGCCATGGTCACATCTTTCTCTGGACTTTGTTACAGGACTTCCTCCATCCCAGGGCAACACTGTTATCCTGGTGGTTGTAGACGGCTTCTCTAAGGCTGCCCGGTTTATTCCCCTGTCCAAGCTGCCTTCAGCCAAGGAGACTGCTGAGCTCCTTATGAACCATGTCTTCCGTATATTTGGTATTCCCCGGGATGTTGTCTCTGATCGGGGTCCCCAATTCTCATCCCAGTTTTGGGGGGCCTTCTGCAGGCTTATCGGAGCCACAGCCAGTCTATCGTCTGGGTTCCATCCTGAATCTAATGGTCAGACGGAACATATTAATCAGGATCTGACCACCTTGCGGTGTATGGCAGCCAGTAACCCCACGTATGTGGGCCACCTATATCATTTGGGCTGAATATGCCCACAACACCCTCCAGTCCTCAGCCACCAGATTGTCCCCTTTCAAATGCCAGTTCAGATGCACCCCGCCACTATTTTCGAGGAAGAGGTACAAGTTGGTGTTCCCTCTGCACAGCACTTTGTACTACGCTGTAGGCGGACCTGGAAGAAGGCTAGGCGTACACTCCTTCGGACCTCCATGAGATACCAAACCCAGGCTAATCGCCACCAGGATTTCCTCCTGGATTTCCTCCAGGAGATATTGCCATCGTTGAAATTCTCTGCAGCAGACGGACTCTGCCTGTGTCCGTAGCCGTAGCACGCAGCGAGAGCACGGGCACCAGCAATCTGCCCGGCTTCTCGACCGACAGGCAGACGCCTCCTGTTCCTCCATCAGCCTCAGCTGCTCTTCACTATACTGCAGCTCGTAAAGATAGCCACGAACATTGGATTCAAGCAGCAGAATTTCAAAATCTTCTTCTTCAATATCATGTTTAGTTTCTTCCATCATTATCATACTTCATATCTCCACAGCGCTTGTTAGCTTAGCTTCCAAACAAGATAGCGGATATTGATTTCAGTTTCTGCAAGTGAAGTCCCACCCACTGATCTGTAATAGGCCTGTAGGGTGAGTGGGTCCCACAACTTGAATAATAATGAGCTAATGTTTGTAGTTTATACACTTTCTAATGAAATGTGAATTCCTGCTTATTATGGCGCAAAATGACGATTTTTACTTAACAATAACAACAATAACAATAATTTTACTTAACAATAATTCTTTCTCCCATCTCAGGGGAAAATAAGGGAATAAACCATGACCATTCAAAAATATGACTAGGTTTCTAAAGATACAAGCTTAATGCAAATGGGTGAGAAAATGGGTGACCCTTTAAGAAACCTTTAGTTGTAATTGAATTAATTTAAAGACGGACACCATTTGATCAGTAAACCACTGTTTTTTTTTTGTAATATTTCTGTATTTTCTTGTTTTTTTGTGTTAAATGTCCCACCCTACATGATTACACTAAGAGAAGGGTCAAAGGGCACTTCTCAATTTCTGAATTCAGTGGACTGAAATACAGATACTCACACAGGTTCAGAGGTCACAGCAGGTCCATCACTGAGATTAGGCGGCAGACCAATGGAGTTGTTACTCTTCATAGACACACAGCTAGAAATCGAAGATGCTGCTTTCTTTCTCTTCTTGCTGATGATACAGAGAAAAATAAATTAATATTTCATATTGAATATTTCAACTTTAACTTCTTTAAAGTTGATCTGTCTTCTACATTAAATCAACACCTGTAAACAACACCAACTACAGAGCCCCTAAACAAAGTTGCATGGTGGTGGAAAAAAGTTGGGATGGGAGAAAAACATTTTTCAAATCTTTTCAAATCGTTCCCTCGTGAAATTTTTGCGTTGACAGCCACTGTGTATAAATGATTATATTTCAACAACAAATTGGGAGTAAAAACAATTTTATAGGGGTGTAACGCAGAACTATCAACCCTCCCGTTTTTTCCGCGATTCTCACGTATTTCACCTTGCTATCCAGCTATCATCCCGTTTAAATACTTTCCTGTATTTATTCAATAAAATATTTTATATTTTGAATCTACTTTCACAGAAAGACATCTCGCGTTTGCCGAGGCAGCGCGTAGATTTAAGGTCTGCATTGCGATTCAGAATCTAGTGGCTCGGATCTCGCGTTTGCCGAGGCAGCGTGTAGATTACGAGTTTACTCTGCAATAAAGATTGTGTGACTGGGATCTCGCGTTTGCCGAGACAGCGCGTAGATTTAAGGTCTGCATTGCAATAAAGAATCTATAGTGGCTCGGATCTCTAGTTGTCAAGGCAGCGCGCAGATTCGGGCTACTCTGCAATAAAGATTCTGTGTGGGTGCGAGGCACGCACAGTCAGCTCCTGAGGGCGCTGGCTGTGTTCATTGAGAAAAATCTCGACGCACACACAGCCGTGCGTTCGGGTGTTTTCAGCCTCGTGCCCATTGACTTTCTTCTCCAGAAATGAAAGCCAAATATATTGTGAATGACTCGAATCTCGCCGTTGCCGAGGCAGCGCGTAGATTACGAGTCTACAATAATAAGGACACATAATCTGTAAATAACACTTTTAAATAGTAAAAATAAATAATACTGTTTTGTGTGAGGCATTCACAGTCAGCACCTGAGGGTGCTGGCAGTGTTCATTGAGAAATATCTCAACGCATAGGCCTACAAATTAGACCATGCACTGTTGGATATTTCAGCCTCACATCTGTTGACTTTCTTCTCGAGGGATGAAAGCCAAATATATTTTTACGGCTCGAATCTCACGTTTTCCGAGGCATTCGTGTAGATTACGAGACTGTAATAATATTAAAACAGTATTGTTTGGTGAAAGAGTACCGCTTCTAGAGCCCCTCCTCAAAGAGCTCTACAGCCGCTACTTCATAGTTCCCAAGAAGGATGGGGCGGTTGCGTCCGATAATAGATCTCAGGCACTTGAACCGTTCTCTGAGGAGATTCAGATTCAAGATGCTCACCAACAATCATGGACCAAATTCAATCCGAGGATTGGTTTGTCACGATAGATCTGAAGGACGCTTACTGTCAAACATTCATCCTTCCATTTCACAGGAAGTTCCTGAGGTTCGTTTTCGGGGGCGAAGCATACCAATATCGGGTTCTTCCGCTTGGCCTAGCACTCTCACCCTGCACATTTACCAAGTGTGTGGATACAGCTCTAGCACCCCTGAGACTCGAGGGTATCAGGGTGCTCAATTTTATAGACGACTGGCTCGTTCTGGCTCAGTCACAAGAGCAGCACTTTCATTATTATTGGTTCTTTGGTTTTTTGTTCATAATGATAAACTGTGAAAGCTGAGATTAGCAAAAGTTCAAATAAAATATACTTTGGTGAAGACATTAAGTTTTTGTGGGTGATTGGCATACTAGTCAAATAACAGTCTGATCATGCATTGTGGTGATCAGGTAGGCATTTGTTTATCTTTGTTCATTGTTGTTTTTTCCATGAAATTTCATTTCAAATAAGAAGCCCCCAATGGCTTTTAGTGCAAATCATTAGCCCAAATTTACGCAAAGTAACTACTTAAACACTAGTTAAAGCCCGAATTACGCAAAATAACTAATTGAGTTGAAATAATTTGCTGACAGCTTGGTCCCCCACAGTTAAAAAATCCTATCTGCGCCACTGTGCTCCTCACTATACTGCAGCTCGTAAAGATAGCCACGAACATTGGATTCAAGCAGCAGAATTTCAAAATCTTCTTCTTCAATATCATGTTTAGTTTCTTCCATCATTATCATACTTCATATCTCCACAGCGCTTGTTAGCTTAGCTTCCAAACAAGATAGCGGATATTGATTTCAGTTTCTGCAAGTGAAGTCCCACCCACTGATCTGTAATAAGCCTGTTGGATGAGTGGGTCCCACAACTTGAATAATAATGAGCTAATGTTTGTAGTTTATAAACTTTCTAATGAAATGTGAATTCCTGCTTATTATGACGCAAAATGATGATTTTTACTTAACAATAAGCAGGAAGTAAAACACTTAAATCCTTATATCTCCCATCTCAGGGGAAAATAAGGGAATAAACCATGACCATTCAAAAATATGACTAGGTTTCTAAAGATACAAAGCTTAATGCAAATGGGTGAGAAAATGGGTGACCCTTTAAGAAACCTTTAGTGCACAGACACCATTTGATCAGTAAACCACTGTTTTTTTTTGTTTTTTTTTTTGTTAATATTTCTGTATTTTCTTGTTTTTTGTGTTAAATGTCCCACCCTACATGATTACACTCAGAGAGGGTCAAAGGGCACGTCTCAATTTCTGAATTCAGTGGACTGAAATACAGATACTCACACAGGGTCAGAGGTCACAGCAGGTCCATCACTGAGATTAGGCGGCAGACCAATGGAGTTGTTACTCTTCATAGACACACAGCTAGAAATCGAAGATGCTGCTTTCTTTCTCTTCTTGCTGATGATACAGAGAAAAATAAATTAACATTTCATATTGCTTCTTTAAAGTTGATCTGTCTTCTACATTAAATCAACACCTGTAAACAACAACTGAGATCTTTATATTTTGAATCTACTTTCACAGAAAGAGATCTCGTGTTTGCCGAGGCAGCGCGTAGATTTAAGGTCTGCATTGCGATTCAGAATCTAGTGGCTCGGATCTCGCGTTTGCCGAGGCAGCGTGTAGATTACGAGTTTACTCTGCAATAAAGATTCTGTGACTGGGATCTCGTGTTTGCCGAGACAGCGCGTAGATTTAAGGTTTGCAATGCAATAAAGAATCTATAGGGGCTCGGATCTCGCGTTCGCCGAGGCAGCGTGTAGATTACGAGTTTACTCTGCAATAAAGATTCTGTGACTGGGATCTTGCGTTTGCCGAGGCAGCGCGTGGATTTAAGGTTTGCAATGCAATAAAGAATCTATAGTGGCTCGGATCTCGCGTTTGCCGAGGCAGCGTGTAGATTACGAGTTTACTCTGCAATAAAGATTCTGTGACTGGGATCTTGCGTTTGCCGAGGCAGCGAGTAGATTTAAGGTCTGCCTTGCAATAAAGAATCTATAGTGGCTCGGATCTCGCATTTGCCGAGGCAGCATGTAGATTACGAGTTTACTCTGCAATAAAGATTGTGTGACTGGGATCTCGCGTTTGCCGAGACAGCGCGTAGATTTAAGGTCTGCATTGCAATAAATAATCTATAGTGGCTCGGATCTTGCGTTGTCAAGGCAGCGCGCAGATTCGGGCTACTTTGCAATAAAGATTCTGTGTGGGTGCGAGGCACGCACAGTCAGCTCCTGAGGGCGCTGGCTGTGTTCATTGAGAAAAATCTCGACGCACACACAGCCGTGCGTTCGGGTGTTTTCAGCCTCGTGCCCATTGACTTTCTTCTCCAGAAATGAAAGCCAAATATATTGTCAATGACTCGAATCTCGCCGTTGCCAAGGCAGCGCGTAGATTACGAGTCTACAATAATAAGGACACATAATCTGTAAATAACACTTTTAAATAGTAAAAATAAATAATACTGTTTTGTGTGAGTCATTCACAGTCAGCTCCTGAGGGTGCTGGCAGTGTTCATTGAGAAATATCTCAACGCATAGGCCTACAAATTAGACGGATATATTTCAGCCTCACATCTGTTGACTTTCTTCTCGAGGGATGAAAGCCAAATATATTTTTACGGCTCGAATCTCACGTTTTCCGAGGCATTCGTGTAGATTACGAGACTGTAATAATATTAAAACAGTATTGTTTGGTGAAAGAGTACCGCTTCTAGAGCCCCTCCTCAAAGAGCTCTACAGCCGCTACTTCATAGTTCCCAAGAAGGATGGGGCGGTTGCGTCCGATAATAGATCTCAGGCACTTGAACTGTTCTCTGTGGAGATTCAGATTCAAGATGCTCACCAACAATCATGGACCAAATTCAATCCGAGGATTGGTTTGTCACGATAGATCTGAAGGACGCTTACTGTCAAATATTCATCCTTCCATTTCACAGGAAGTTCCTAAGGTTCGCTTTCGGGGGCGAAACATACCAATATCGTGTTCTTCCGTTCGGCCTAGCACTCTCACCCTGCACATTTACCAAGTGTGTGGATACAGCTCTAGCACCCCTGAGACTCGAGGGTATCAGGGTGCTCAATTTTATAGACGACTGGCTCGTTCTGGCTCAGTCACAAGAGCAGGCGGTTCAGCATCGTCCCCCCATGTTGTCCTCGCCCACATCCAGAAGTTGGGGTTGAGACTCAACACGAAGAAGAGCGTGTTGACACCAGCCCAGAGAACGATGTTCCTGGGAGTGGTGTGGGATTCGGTCACGATGCGGGCACGGCTGTCTCCCGCGTGAGTCGAGTCCATCCTGGCCACAGTGGCTGGGATAAAGCTGGGCCAAGCCATCACTGTCAAACATTTCCAGAGAGTGTTGGGACTCAGGGCAGCAGCGTCCAACATCATTCCATTCGGCCTGCTGCTCATGAGGGCCCCTCAGTGGTGGTTTAAAACCAAGGGATTTTCCCTGAGGGGAAGTCCGTCCCGCACGATCAGGGTTACACGCAGAGGCCTTCGTTCCCTATCTATGTGGAAGAAAGCTTGGTTTCTGTCCCAAGGTCCAGTGTTGGGAGCATCATGTCGCCGGAAAACCGTCTCGACAGACGCCTCCCTCACGGGCTGGAGCGCGGTCATGGACGGCCGCTTTACGACAGGACTATGGCAGGACCATCATTCCTCCTGGCACATAAACTGCCTGGATATGTTGGCGGTTTCCCAGGGTCTGAGGAGCTTCCTGCCGGACCTCAGAGGTCACCATGTGCTCGTGAGGTCAGACAATATGTCGGTAGTGGCCTATATAAACCATCAGGGGGGCCTGATGTCTCGCCCTCTATGCAGATTGGCACATCAGATCCTCCTGTGGTCCCAGGAGAAATTGTTGTCTCTAAGAGCGACATTCATCCCGGGGAGTCAAAATCAGGGAGCAGACGTCCTGTCGAAACAGGGGCTAAGGCCCGGGGAGTGGAGACTCCACCCCGAGGTGGTGGAGTCAATATCTCAGAGGTTCTGCCCAGTGAAAGTGGACCTGTTCGCGTCTCGAGAGACGACCCACTGTCCACAGTGGTTTTTACCTCACTCCTCCAACCCCCCTGGGGCTGGATGCCATGGTACAGACGTGGCCGAGGCTGCGTCTGTATGCATTTCCCCCGATCGCTCTGCTCCCGGGAGTTCTAGAGAGGGTCCGTCGCGACGGAATCAGTCTATTGGTGGTAGCCCCGTTGTGGCCAGCCCGAGTATGGTTCTCAGACATTATATTGCTCTAGACGGCGCTCCATGGGAGATTCCCCTCAGGAGGGGCCTGCTGACACAGGCGGAGGGCTCAATATTTCACTGTTACGTCCCCAGAGAGCTGGGTACGTATTATAGTGATTTTCTTTTCTGGCATTGCTTGTGGTTCTTGTGTTTTTCTTCTTACAGGTAAGATGGCTTCTGTAACCATTCCAGCAGCTGATTGGTGGTTCAACGGCTGATTGGATCTTGGAACTCCTCCTACTCGTTAGTGGCTGCAGCTGGCTGGGCTCTTTAAAAAGCCTAGTTTTAGATCTGTTCTCTCTCTGCTCTGGGCTTTGCACTCTGTTCCTGCTGTTGGTGTGGTTGGTATCGCTATTTGGGACTTGTGACTTATAGATTACTTTATTGTTGTCTATTTGAGATTAGGGTTGGAACATTTGATAATGCTTTTGATAATGTTGTAATCTGATTTGTTAGCTAGTAACTCTAGCTTTGTGTTCCACTTTTGGAACTTGAACAGCAGGACTGAGTTTGTTGTTTGTGAATTATCATTATTATTATTGTTTGTTAACTTCTTTTTCTTGTTCTTTGTTTATAGGGAGTTGGAGGAGTAGATTTAGAGCTACCCCGGGGTATACATCACCCGTAGGCATACTTCTCTGTCTATAAACACCAGTTAGACCTGGGCGGACCACCATCTGTAATTTTGGTTAGGGCGCCTTGATCGTGTGCCAGATAGGTGATGGGTATAATTAGCGTAGGTTAGTGGTGGGGTATTTTTGTTTATTTCTTTTCTTTGGTTCGTCCAGCTCTCCCCTTTCTCCCTTAAATTTGTTTATCATTTACATTATTACCGTGACAAAAATAAAAACACAGTTTGTACGGTATTTGGAATTTGTCTCCTTTTCTTGCACCACAACTCCATTTTTTTTAACCTTTATTTATCCAGGTAAAATGTTTGAGAACCACTTCTCATTTACAAACATGACCTGGCCAAGAGGCTACAGGAAAAAAATAAGAACATAATGTACAGCTGTACATAGTCAAACACATAACACTTAGAACAAGCAGCTAAATAAAAATAAAAGACAACAAAGAGGAAAAAGAAAACGAATAGAGTGCTTAAATATGTGTGTAAATATGGTTCATGATTGTCAGCAGGAACAAGAGTCAACTATGTAATTTTCGAGGTTTTGCTTAAAGGTGGAGATTGGGATCAGAGATGTAAGTTTCAGGGTATTTTGTAGTATGTTCCAGTCGTGTACTGATGCAAAGCGGAAAGGCATTACGTCCAAAGGTAGTAGAAGTAGGGGGGATACTAAATTTAATCAAATTACTTGATCTTGTGTGATAGGTGTTATGAGCGGCATGAAGTAGGGACGACAAATAGATAGGTGCCTTGCCCAGAATTGTCTTATATATGAAGAGAAACCAATGATGGAGCCGCCGGGTATGAAGGGAGGGCCAACCCACCAGTTTATACAGGTCGCAGTGATGAGTGTGATAGGGTGCATTAGTGGCAAAACGGATGGCTGAATGATAGATTGTGTCAAGTTTTTTTAGAGCTGTGTTTGGTGCCATTTTGTAGATAATGTCGCCGTAATCCAAGATTGGCAGTACTGTCGTCTTTACGAGGGTGCATTTGGAAGCATGGGTAAAGGAGGCTTTATTACGGAAAAGAAAAGCTAGTCTAGCTTTGACTTTTGTTTGAAGGTTATTGATGTGTGTAATGAATGACAGGGATGAATCCAACCAGATACCAAGATATTTATATTCCTTGACATACTCCAGAACCGTACCGTTCATGCAGGTGATTGTAGGTGGAGTTTCTGTAACCTGTTTTCGGCTAAAAAGGATACATTTTGTCTTACTGGGGTTAATACGGAGGTGGAGACTGTCAAAGAACTGCTCTAAATAGGTGAAGCTAAGTTTAAGACTGGAAGCCGCAGAATTGGGAGTGGAACCAACTGAGTACAAAATGGTATCATCTGCATAAAGATGAATCCGAGAGGTACCAACAGCTCTGGCTATATCATTGATGTAGATAGAAAAAAGGATTGGACCCAGGATGGAGCCTTGAGGCACACCTTTAGAGACAGTAAGTGGGTCTGACATTATGTTGTCAACCTTCAATTGCTGGACACGGTTGGTGAGATAATTAGCAAACCAGTCACAGCTAGAGG